CGATATTAGTATTAATTTTAAAGTCAGTAAGGATTATTTTAAAGCCGCGATTTCTTTATATAATTCATTAATTTTAAATTTGTATTAGAAAATTATAGTAATTAAACTGTTATTAAATTTAGCGACCTCCCGTTAACAATTTTCCAATTCTTCCTCCATTCTTCAAGTGCAGTCGCAGACCTTAATAATATTATTATAAATTAAATAATTTAGGGTGATAATTACGTTATGGAAAACGGAGATAATTATAAAAGCGAATATATACTTTATAATTGTAATAGAAAGGAGGCCGGTAAAAGGATTATTATTAAAGTTTATAAATACTTCTACGAAATTATTATAAATCGTTTAATTTATTGAGTTAGAGATTTAGAAGGCTCCGATTATAATAATTGTAATAAAATTATTTATAATAATTAGAACGCCCAATATTAATTATTAAATTAATTGTAATAGCGGTAATTTCTTAAAATTACCGTTTTAGAAATGAGAGGGGTGAAAGGATTAGATACTTAATTAATTAATTAATTAATTCTTAATTCGGATTTAAAGGTATTAGGGTTAAATCTTATATTTATCCTATTGATAAGAGTTTAAATTTTAAAGGGTTACAATACGAAATTTGCAATTATTGAAAAGTTTAATTAACTAATTAATTTTTCCCTTGAATATACGTAGCGTAATAGAAAGGTATAATAAACTATTATAGGGCGAGGTATTATTGGAGGTAAGGTAAGATATGCGTTGTTATATAAAAGGGAGGAAAGAAAGGTGTGCGTGGAGGATTAGTTATATGGGCGGGAGCCTTGGTTAGATTAGTCCGTATACGCGTATACGTACAACTGTACGTAACTGCTATATATGTGGCCAATGCGTATATAGCTCTGGGCTATAGTATTAGCTCTAGGCATAGCACATAAGGCAGTTAGTGTAGTGTAAGAATGTTACAAGCTAGCCTTGTGACAATACCTTCGTTACTTAAAAAGAGAACTTAACCGACGAAGTACTTCCTCTACGAACCTTTCTAGCCCGCTTCTTACTATATATCTTAAAAGGTACGAAATCTTTATTATAACCAAGAAGAGTAGCCTTTTCTATAACCTGATAGAATTTATCCTCTTCATTTTCAATACTAGCTAAGAAAATATTAAAATCCTATTTGGGTTAGGAAGCCTTCTAAAACCTCATTTCTAATATATAATATAAATAATTAAGACTCTATTACTTAATTAAGAGGGTACGCCGGACATTATTAATAATAACCTCGTCCTACCCCTCCTTAAGCTTCAATACTATATTATACTTTAGGTCGTACTTAATAATACGAATACGGCTATAATCGTTAAAAATATTAGCCTTATCAACTAAATCAAGCCCAACCTTCTTCTTAACTTTAAATTTGCGTACTAATTACTACTTAAGGCTAAGGTTATCTTCGAAGGCGACCTTTTTAATAAAAGCAAGGTTTACTCACTATATCTCCTTTAATTCTTCCTCTATATTAATTACCCTTCTTATAATAACTTTAGTATTAAGAACCTACTTTATATAGGCTCTATCGCCAATAGAGATATATTTACGAAGGTTCTACTTCTAAACTTCTACTTCGATATAGCGCTTTTAACATTTTTACTAATTATATACCAACTTTTAAATATTAATAGATACTTTAAAAGTAATTTTAGCTTCGTTATAGACCTTTCTAATAGGCAAATTATACTTATTAATATATTATTAAATCGCTAGTAATTCCAATGTACGTAGAACTTTACGAAGAATTATAGCCTTAAATTGGTTAAGAAACAAGGGTTCTTACCGTACCCTAACAAATTCACACAACTTATTAAAAAGGATATTAAGTTTAAAAGGCCAAAGACTAATCTTCTCCTATTCCTTATATATATTACTTCGAATAAAGCCCGCCTTTTTAACCTTCTTCCAATTATTTAGGAAAACTGTACGGTTAATATTAATAGCCCCGCTAATAATATCGTTTACTAGAGCCTTCTGATAAACCTTCTTAACTGCTTAATATACCCCTATATTAAATAGTTAAGATAAATAATTAATATAAGATGGGAGAGTAAAAGGGATAATATCGAACGCCTTACAATACTATAGAATATATAGGTTCTCGTACGCTTCAAATCCATTTATAAAAAAGACCCGATATACCTTCAGTTTAATAATTAATGTAAAATTAACGGTTACTCTATCCCCTTCAAAAAGTTCAAATCTTTTAAAGGGAAGCGGGCAATCAAATAATGAACCGAACCAATTATCGATAGTATAGCTATCGAAGGAAGAGGACAATTTAAAAGAGTATTTATTAAAGTGCTTAATTTATTATAATATATAATAAATATTATTATATCCAATTAATATATTAATAATAACTATATCCAGATTAACTTCGTAATTGGCCTATATATTCCCTTACACCTATAAATAAAGTAATATAAACGTAACTAATTAAATAAAATCAACCTTAATTATAAATAACGAAGTTAGAGCCTTACTATAATCTATACCTTAAATATTAGGAATAAAGGGATACTTTTAGCCGCGGCCAATATAATATTGATAGCTATTAAATTTTCCTTATTACTAGGGTTAAATATAACCTTTCTCGTATATACCCAGTTCTTTACAAATAATACCTATTATTATATAATTTAATATAAGGAGTAATAATATAAAGGAAATCTACCCTTATACTTTTATAATTCCTTTAATTTCCCCTACCTAGAAGGGAAACTCATCTATATTCCAAACGTTCTCCTCCTTAATATTAAAGCTATTATATATAACCTTCACCTCTTTTAACCAATCTTTAAAGGAATCTAATCAAACTTCAATATTTATTCTTTTCACATCTTTAAAACTAGCCGCTTTAAATTCGAATTCTAGATACTTCTTATAGTATTCTATAGGCTACCCTCTATAAAAATTAATAAAGGGGGGGTATAGCCGTTAAACTCGTAACTAATTAATTAACTTAACGAAGGAGGTATTATTTAAGGGGAAGTAGCCGCAGTTAACGATCTAAACTACAATATCAAGAGCCTTATCCTCGTCTACAATCAAAGCTAAAAACCAATATACTTCTATACCAATTAGTAAAGCCTTACCCTCTCTAATAAACATCACATACTTCTTAATAATAACCTTACTAATATTAAACAACTCCCCCACACTCTTATATATAACCCTCCCTTTATTTCTAACTTTAATATTAGCCTTAGATCGTAAAGTAATAAATTGGGTTACAATTGCAGTCTAACCTACAATGAAATACTAGGCAGCCTTCTCTACACAGGATACAACGTCAGGGTTAAATACAAGTATAATGAAAGTATATACAAAAGATCGAACACAACGGAACGAGCAGAATGAAATTATTCACAATATAATACAATAAAGAATAGTAATATTATAGTTGAATACAGATTCTATACCGTTATAGAGCTTGCACATTATATATAAAAAGTCCAACTCTCAAAGGGACGATGAGAATCGGTTGACTGGCTGTAAGCGGGCCCCCAAAGGGAGGCCCCACATGGCTGGCCCCCAGAGGGTGGCCAATGCGTGCACCTAACCGACGAGTATTCCCCCTTCTTCCTCTTCAACCTGCAATCTATCCAAAAGACCAATCAATCCTTAGTTCGCCTTGTCTTTCTCGTTTTCGTGGGATGTGGTTCTCACCATCACCTCACTCGCCCATCAGCTCAGCTTGTCGTTCTTGGCGATCACTGGGTCCTCTTCACACCATCAACCTAAATTCTCACTTCCATTTTCCCAGCAGCCGAGTGCTTTACTTTCAACCTCCTAGGTCCAGTTTCAGAACCTTCCAAAAATAGGGCTCCACGCGGCGCGGTTGTCCTCTCGACACCCGTGGTTTTCAAGAGACAATCGGGTTAGGGTTATATCTCTTTCCGAAACTCGACAAGCCCGATATCCAAATGACACCATTGGACCAGTCCACCCTGCCCTGGGCCACGCACCCACCAGTCTTCTAGCCCTTCAGACTTCCCGCCAGTCTTCCTCCTCCTTCTTCCCATCCATAGCACACTCAATCAACCGTCGTGTCCTCACATCTTGTCTCTCCCTTTGAAAGCGTAATTCAACCCTCTCAAGCTTGCTAACCCCAGGCAGCTGCTAACCGCGCCCACTTGTTCAAGAATTGAGACGCTAACCTGGATTGCAGATGGCATCACCCCCAAAACACAGGACCACCTCCAACCACCAATCCTCCTGAAGACATTCTGAGGGCGCGAGTCAATCTCATGTTTGGCCCATACCTACCTCATTCCGCCGCTTCGGAGTAACGGCTTACTCCCGTCTTCACGACTGCGAATGGTCCCCGCTCAATGTTCGCCCGACAGCGCTGTGCTATCCTTCAGAGGAGTCATGGCACTGGAAAGAATGCGACGTGTCCCATCTCACAAGCTTTAGCTCCGCGGTATTGCCTAGGTGGGGTGCTACTGCAGCCTGCAGGGGCAAGAACCCCTACCATGCAGTATGCAGTTGCCACTCAGGTGATTCCCGCATCCCCGAATGGCGGTTACCGTACCCGACTGGGCATTACCCCCGACAGGATGTCAATCCCGAGCAGATGGTTTCACAGTTTTCACACCTCCACGGATGGAGTCTCCAAAAGTCGTGGACCGGCCTCGAACCTCTTGGGGGTTGAGGGGAAAGGTTGCAATGCTTCCAGCAGTCGTAAACCGCCTGGGTACGGCAAAGGTGAAAGATGCATACATAGTCAGGAGGGGCCATCGCTACCAGGATCCCGCAGGAGTGCAGAAAGCGTGTCTGGCACATGTCAATTGGTCCGCTGTCCGGTCTCTTTTTGACATCCACCAAGTCCTCCTAGGGCCGCATCAGGAAGGCATCCTAGAAATTCGCGCTGACCGCTGCATCGTTCACAGTGAATGGAACGCTAGAAACTGTACAATGCCATCATGATCTTTGGCCGTCCCAAACCCCTCCCGCCCTCGCTGTTTAAAATCTGGTCCAGTCACCTCTCCTGCTCCCGAACCCACAACCAAACTTGAACCCTCAGCCGTCTGTCATCTCTCGGGTATTGTTCTCAATATCTAGCTTGCCTCGCTCTCGTTGTTTCACCCGCCAAACCACAAGCATGGCAGCCCAGCCTGCACAGCAGCTGCCATTGCTCAGCAATGAGGAGCAAGCCGCAGTCGGTATTCTTCCCGCCTCGCATTGGCAACAGCAGTCCACGCAAGAGGATCCCAATGATGATTCAGCTTCGAGCCTTGGATCATTTGTTTCCAGCACCGCCTCGCTGACCGAGTCCATTTTCGCGTATCGCCATATTAACGGACGGACCTATCACGGCGAGATTGGCAATGCTGAATCCTGGGAGCCCAACGATGAGCGCCACAAGGAGGCGTTAGACATTGCGTAAATCTATCACCACATACCTCTTCCCCTTTGGCAATCCGAGTCTAATTCATGAGATAAAGTCATCATGTGTACACGGTGGTACTCGATGGAAAGCTCCACAATGCTCCTCTCGATAAAAAGAATGTTCAGAAAGTCGTCGATATCGGAACTGGAACGGGCATGTGGGCAATGTGAGTTTTTACAAAGCTTCGCCGCTGATGCCTCGCCTGATAACCTTTCTCTCTAGCGACTTTGCCGACGAGTTCCCCGATAGCGAAGTGATCGGTACCGATATTACTCCCATCCAACCTCCCTGGGTTCCTCCCAACGTGAAGTTCGAAATCGACGACTGTAACCGAGAATGGACTTGGGCCGATAATACTTTCGACTTCATTCATATACGTATGATGTTCGGTATTATCGAGGATTGGGACGCCCTCTTTCGCCAGGCTTACCGTACCTGTAAGCCCGGTGGCTATACTGAAAGCTTTGTTTGCGACAGTACATTCAGGGGCGATGAGACAGTGAAGGATGATAGCGCTATTGCCCAGTGGGGGAGGGTTTGGAATGCGGCAGGGAAGAAGATGGGACGGACATTCGAGGTTTACGCTGAGAATCTCCAGCAGAAGGGTATGGAAGCGGCGGGCTTCGTGGATATTGAAGTCAAAGATTACTACATCCCTCTTGGTGTTTGGCACAAGGACAAGGTCCTGGCCGAAAAGGGCCTTTGGTGGAAGATTCATGCGGAGAGTGATCTTGAAGGTAAGTCTGTTTTATGGTAAAGTTGTGGCTGGAGATATGCCGGGCTTAACTAATGGGTGGTTACACAGGCTATCTGAACTACCCGTTCCACGCGGTGATGGGGTGGACTCCGGCGGAGACTGGCCTCTATGCCGCTCAGCTTAGGAAGGAGCTCAATAACCCGAAGATCCACGGCTACACCACGGTGCGTTCTGTATGGGGTCGGAAGCCAGAGTAAGAACTCTTTGGACATGGGGATGGAGGAACCAGAGGACGAGTTATGAAGGCGTGGGGATCCTTTGGGTAAGCAACAATGCAATGGCGATATGACAAAATCTATGAGGGGTTCAAATACGCGACACCGAAACCCACCATGTAAACTGCTTTAGGCGAATGCACATCTTGTTTTGAGTTAACTTACCTCCCAGGAGGGTTCGTTGACATAGTCAAGATCAAGGATATGTCAAGGTTTCATTTGTCACCTACCCGGAGGATAAAAGGTTGGCGGGAATCTCAACCATGAATCATTGTGCTTGTCCTTGACCCGGAGATCAGGTTATTCGAAGTCCGGACTTTGTGCACTTGCATGTTTTGGGAAATCTGCAATCTCTGCGACCCGTCTTCAGGTGTTTCATGGGCTCGAAACGCTAACCTTGAGTACCATCGACACCCAAAACAAGACCACCTTTTTCAACGTCCGATTCGTCCGAACACGTTCACACGACGCGAATCAATTCTATCCTCACCCAAACGGGACCTCAACAGATGAAGTGTTAAAAGGTCATGGACCGGCCTCGAAGCTATTGGGGGTTAGGGAAAAAGATTGCAATGCTCCCAGCAGTCGCCAACCTGGCAGTCCTGGGTACGGCGGAGAACCGTGAGCCCCCCAGTTTATGCAACTTCCGTCCAATGCAAAACCCCCGTTTTGTGCAAGGGAAAATGGCCTGCACCAATTCTTGGTTGCATAAAAGGGGGGCCGAGGGGCATCACTCTACACGTACTTGGGGGCCAGGGAGCTTCTTGGCGCCAACTGCCAAGTAAAACCTGAATCCCACAGGGGTGCAGAAAGTGTGCTTGGCACGCCACATCAATAGATGTTGAGAATGTCCCTGCCACGTGCCTCGCTCTGGGTCTACCGCAAATTCTCACTTATAACGGAGATGCTCTTTTGGGGAAGGCCACACCTTATGCAGGTGTTTTGAGCTTGCTCTTAGCTACATATGCACCATCTTGCCAACTGGATTGGTTCAAAATCCCAGTATGATCCACAAAGCATCTCCGTTATGAATGAGAGTTTGCGGTAGCACCCTTTTCCTTACCAAGCTCACCAAGATGAAGTGGAAAGCGAGCCTGGCCCATGCACTTGCCCAGAGATGCCCTCTCAGTCGTGTGCCTATTTCAGCCCTCCAGACCCGCGGCTTCCTCTTCCTCCTTTCACAGTCACGGTCTCACAATACAGCCAGTGATCCATGCCAGTCCCACAAGAGGGCATCGCGGAGAATCCGCGTGGGTCCCGCTCTTTCCCTTAGTTTGCGTTCTTCACAGTGGATAGAAGGCTAGCAACTGTACAATACCCCTCCTGCTCTCGCTGTTCGGGGCCATCTTGCACTTGCACAATTGCCCTCGAACACACAACCAAACTTGAAGCTTTGGTCATCTATCATCTCCACGGGTTTTATTCTCAACATCCCACCTTGCCCACATCTCGTTTCACATCTCGCTTCACTCGTCAGAACCACAAGCATGGCTCCCAATACCAAGGGATCATCGTCGGCAGCCGGGCCTACAAAGGTTCCGATATCGATGTTGCTCAGCAATGAGGAGCAAACCGCCATCGGTATTCTTCCTGCCTCGCATTGGCAACAGCAATTTACGCAAGAGGATCCCAGCGACATCTTTTCTTCCAGGGCCAGGACCGCCTCGCTCACCGAGTCTATCTTTCAGTATCGCCACATCCATGGAAGAACCTACCATAGCGATATCGGCAATGCAGAATCCTGGGAACCGAATGATGAGCGTCACATTGATGCAATGGAGATTGCGTAAATACCTGCCTGAACATCTATAAGTATCGTGAACCTCGGTTGTACATGCTGACCATCGTAACAGCCACCACGCTTATACGGTCACTATGGAACACAGGTTGTATCGCGCTCCACTTGATAAGAACAAGGTCCAAAAGGTGTTGGACGTTGGTACAGGAACTGGCCTGTGGGCAATGTAAGTCTTACTCCACGCATCATGCGTACTCGTCAGGTCTCGAAGCGCTTCCTGATGTTGCGCCCAAGGTCGGACAGACGTTCGAGCCCTGACAGGTATAAGCCCCAATCGCCCTTCTAACAGAATCTCTGATGCTGTCTAGTGACTTCGCCGACGAATTCCCCGGAGCCGACGTTGTCGGTACCGACATCACCCCCATTCAACCTTCCTGGGTGCCCGCCAACGTCAAATTTGAACTTGATGATTGCAACCAAGAATGGACCTGGCCAGACAACACCTTTGATTTCATCCATGCGCGTATGCTAATTGGTGTTATCGAAGACTGGTATGAATTCCATCGCCAGGCCTTCCGGACTTGTAAACCGGGTGGTACGTACCCCCTGACCTCTTCCATCCACCAATTGTCCATTGACAATCACTCACCCAAGTCCCATGCAGGCTACATCGAAACTTTCGCCGCTTGCAGTACTTTCGAGTGCGACGACGGTACGGTGAAAGAGGACAGTGCCATGTCACAATGGTCTAAGGTGTTTAATGAAGGTGGAAGAAGGTTCGGCCGATCTTTTGAGGTTTACGACCACGACCTCCAACGGAAGGGTATGGCAGCTGCTGGCTTCGTGGATATTGAGTATAAAGACTATATTATTCCCATAGGTGTCTGGCACCCTGAGAAGGAAACAGCGGAATCGGGTCTATGGTGGAAGCTAGCCATTGAGGCGGACCTTGAAGGTAAGCTTGCGTGTGCAGCGGGCACTCGGTTTGCAGCGAGCACCCCACCATTCCACAATCAGTGACTTGAGTTGGGTCAATGCTAATATCTCCCAACAGGATACCTTAACTACACCTTCATTGTCTTGCTAGGATGGACTCCGGAGGAAACCAAGTCGTATGGCGACCAAATTAAGAAAGAGTGGAACAATCCCAATATTCACGGCTATGTCAGGGCACGCAGTGCATGGGGAAGGAAGCCAGAGTAGGTCCCAGAGGACACTCAGAAGGCTAGATGATTGTGGACTGTTCCTGTGGTTTTAGGCACGGATTTTGGAATCAAACTTGAGCGACGTTGATACCCCCCCCCCCTGTCAGCACCCTGCCCAGCCTTGTGCCCTGTGCCGGCAATCTCTGAGAATCTTTGGCCAAGACCCGCCTTCTTCCTCCTTCCGCAAGAGAAAACCTCCGCGCACTCCAAGCCCAGCCTACACGTACTCTAAGACCCATATGACAGCTGTTATATAAATACGGTCGTTTTGTATAGTAAACTGGGGTCTTTGAATGTTCTAAACATCGCTCCCGCCACGCCAGAGTAAACGTAAAAGTCGTAATACTTTTCATAGTATTATGAACCCCCCAAACTCGATATCGTCGTTCACACACACACAACGAATCTGCTGCCTTAATGCTTAGAATCCTTCTCTTATTTATTTACTTAGTAATATATACTCTAAATTACTCAATATGATAGGGTTCTTTCTATTGCCCGGCAAGTATTACTATACGATCTATAGGTTCTTATTATTCTAGTAGTTCTTATATCCCCTTCTGAAGTAGCTATTTTCGTCCTATAAACTCTCTCTTATCCTCTTCTTCTTACGCCTCTCCTATCTATTTAACTATTTAATATTAATATTAGTAACGTAAATAGATTTGCCTAATTATAGGTATAGCTTCCTCCCTCGATAAATATATAGGCCAAACTCCTTTTTAATAATAGGGCATTTGCGGGGACTGTAGCGAGTATGCTGCTACTTAATAAAGCGACCCTCTTCTTCGAAGCTTACGTTATATAGGGGGTATTTATTATCAAAGACGTTATACTCCTCTTTTTTTACCTATTTAGCCATTTACTTATTAAGCTCCTCTTCTAATTGTAATCAGGCGAGCTATTGCTCTTCTATAAATAATTCCCTAATATAGTTTATCCAATTCTTTATATTATTAAGGAATAGATTATTACTAAATTCATTATCTATTATATAGTATAATACGGTGTTAAGGAGGTTCTCCCGCTAGAATCCCTATATATTATTAAAGATTAGTATTTCTAATTTAATAGTTTAGGTGATAAAGAGTTAGGAGGAAGAAGAGGAGGAGGAAGGAGAAGGAGGAATAAAGAACGATGGTAGGTTAAATAGTTTTGAATTTAAATCCTCTAATTTAAATACCTCCCTTGGTTGGGCTGAAGTAAACGGGCTTTAGGGAGTTGGAATTTGGTTAATGTTAACGAAAATAATATTCTATATATTATTATCGCTATTAATTAATACTTCCTCCTCTCCTTCATCCTCCTCCCTTATCTTCTTCGTACCCGCACTATTTATAATATCCTCGGCATTTAAAATTTTAAGATTAAACTTAACGAATTCCTATTAAGAATAATAACGATATGTAAATGCTAGAATAGGGGTAGTATTTGTAAATTCGCCCCGGGGCCTAGGGGGGTTGGTACGTGAGTTGGATTAGATTTGATTAAATTAGGTTTAATTAGATTGGGTTGTACGTATGTTAGCTCTAGTAACCTACGTATATTAGGGAGGTTGGTGTACTTGTAATTTATTTTGAGAAGTATTTTAAAAGGCTTCTTAAGACGGCCGGCCTTCTCGAAAGGCTTCTTAAAACGGTTAGCCTTTTTAAGGGTTATTTTAGAGAGGTCGTATAGCGATAGGTTTATAGCTAAAAGGGCTACCCATATTACGCGGGCGGCCTTTAGGAATCTTTATAACCGTAAGTATAAATATAAAATATTTATTGACTACGTTCTAAGTAGGAAGTTAATATAGGATAATATTAGGGGTAGGGGTTAGAGAAGTGCTTATTCGAAGTTAATATACATATTAGAAGGGGTAGTATATATCTTTCTCAATTAAGACAACTGTATTTCCTTATAGCCGTATCTCTATTTTATATATATAGAGAAAACCTCAGCACACTCTAAGGTTTACCTAGACGCACTCTAAGACCCATATAATTCCCACTCTGGCACCACATGACAGGCTATAACACCCGACATCCAAAAGCCCACTTTTACCCGTGAAAATACGCCATTTCAATGCACGAAACATTGCGCTCCATTTCGTGAAAGTTTTAGCCTTGCAAACATTTTCGAACTTTGCGATTTTGAACATACTTTTAACCCATCGCATCGCCACCACACCTTACATCAACACGGAAGGTTGAAGAAGCGTGATAGGGCAAATACTTTGGTAGCTAAGGAGGGCGCCAACGAGGAAGATTACGAAGTAAATAAAGAAGGGGGTTGGCAACTTCAGGGATTATGATGGAGGCTGGAAGGCGACAACAAAAAGGGTTTGATTGTAGTTGTCTAACGGAAGAGGAGAAACGGAAACCAGGACAGCCTAAATACCTGGAAGGGAGTGCCGGTAATGGAACGGCCCAGTAAATGGGCAAAGCCGGTGAATGGGCGGCCCAGGGCACGAACTTCCAACAGATTAAGACTAGGTATACTGTGCTGACTGTGCGTGTCGGATTTGGGGGGTTCGCAACACCACTAAAAGTATCACGACTTTTGACTTGGCGGGAGGGATGTTTCGGACATTTGAGAGACCCCAAATTACTATACAAAACGGCTATATTTATATAACAGCTGTCATATAGGTCTTAGAGTGCGTATAGGCTTCACTTGGAGTGTGCTGTGGTTTTCTTTATATATAAGGTAGGGTAAATTGCCTTTTAAATTAATAAGAGTATGGGGGTAGAGGTTTGCCTTAATATAAATCTCTTTATTTCCTTAGTAATATTAAAAGAACTTTATAATATTAGATTTCTAGTAGATTGAATACTTATATAATAAAATTTAAAATATAAGTACTAAATTAATTATAATTAATTTATAATATATATATACGCAACAAAGAAGTAATATTTTCCTCTTTAAACTAAGTATATTAGGTAGCAATATATTAAAAATAAATTTTAAAAACATTAATAAGGCTATTACAATTAAAAATTCGATAGGATTTAAGGGAATTATTATTAGATTCATTTAGCGATATAGTCATTTAATTGTAATTAAAATTCTCGTTAATATAGTAATTAATCTACTCCTCCTTAATAGGGATATACTCCTCCTTAAAGTAATTAATAATAGTTTCTTAGGATTCGTTACATTCGCGTTAAAAGCGGACTTAAACTTTATTAAAATTTAATATTATAAGGGAATGAATTATATACTACTATATAAAGAATAGTATAGTACGTATATTAGTAATTTTACGAGGTATAGGGGGGAGGTTAGCCTTAGTCCTAATAGTAGAGCGAATTTTCTTATATAAGCGGATTAAATACTAGCAGTTAATCTTATCGTCAGTATTAAAAATTAGATTATTTTCGTTAAATTCGCCTTCTTCTTTATCGTTTAGTTAATTAATATCCTCGTCGCCGTCGTTATTTTAATTACTATTATTTAAATCTCCGTTTCTAAATTCCGCGGATTAGTTACTATCTCCCTCTTCGTCGTCTTTAGAATCGTTAACGGCGGCGGCGGGGCGCTTCTAAAGCTTCTTAATATTTTTAATTATATTATAATTAATATACTAAATATAGCGTTAGAATATAACGTTTAGGAATTCAGTCCGTAGTATACCGATAAAGGTATCGTTTTTATTATTAATAATAATACCAGGGTAACAAATATCGAAAATTTGTATAGCGTAGTAGATTTAGTTAATAAAGTAGGTATACCCCCTTCGCCCCTCTCGTTATTAAATATTATTTAAAATATAAGTATAGAAGTTTTCTTAGCTATAATAATAACGCCTTATATTAGGGCAAAGTAATAGCAGTTAACCTTGAATATAGTATTAAAGAATATAATAAAAGGGTTACGTAGTTATATTTTGCGTTATGAATCGAATATTTAAAATACGTTAGAAAGTATAATATTATCGTCGTCCTCTTAATTAATATAGTAGTAAACTATTATTACATTAATCTCTAGCAACCGTATAAAGCTTTAGGTATTAATATATTCTTCTTTATATACCTTCTTCAATTATATACATATATTATTAATGTTTTTATATTGAAGGGGTATAGTAAGGAACCGATCCTTAATAGTAGTATATATAGAGCGAACGGTCAATTCCCTTCTCTTTAATAGACTAATTATAAATTCTTATAATTTAAAGTATAATACTAGTACTTTCATTCTAAGAAAGAGATAGTTATCAAAGTATTAGGAATGTAGATATCCTTCGTAATTACTATTATTAATTTTAATTACCTATTTTTAATTAGCGGCCGCTTACTTAGTAATTACAATATGAAAGGGATATTTGAGGGCGTATTTGTGTTTTTATGATATAGAGCGTCGCTTGGAGTTGGGGTTGAGAGTAGGATGAGGTCGAAGGGAGGTATAATTGTATTGGTAAATATACCGGTAAAATTAGTTATATATAGGGTGGCTGGGGTTACGTATTAAATATTTGTTACTTCGAAGGATCGATATATTAAAGCGACGGCGGCGATTGAGTTTAGCGATATTGCGACGGATTTTATTAATTGTTGCCCTAGAGGGGAGGGTATTAATAGGATCGTTTGGTAGAACGTGCTAGCTTTTACGCGAAAAGGAGGCGGCGTTTGCAAATATTGTATTAGTATTATTAGAATTGCAACGACAACGAGGAGGATTAGTAACTATCTATAGCGAACTATTAGTATATATTAAGATTAGTACTGATTAATTAACGTATATTAATTAGTTGTATAGAGTTGGCGTGGTTTATTAGTATGGTGGTATTATAGGGTGGTATTACAATATGGTAATGCGACGTACAAAATTATTTAAAATCATTAAGTTAGAAAAAGGGTGTACGGTTCATAAAAGATTGGTTAAAATTTTATAGAATGCATATTATTATTTTGTGTATTGAAATGGGGTATTTTTACGGCTAAATGTGGGACTTTTGAATGTTAAGTGCCATGGGGTATTATGGGGTGCCAGAGACCCTAACCCTTGGGATTTTATGGGGATTCTATGGGTTTTAGAGTACGTGTAGGCTAACCTTAGAGTGCGCGGAGGTTTTCTCTTCCCTAAATAACAACCTTTCACGATTCAAACTTTCACCAGCTCATCCTGCATCAATCACATTAGTCAAACAACACCAAGACTACCTCTTCTGATCGCAATGGATTCTTTTACCAAAGAAATACGAGTCGAGTCCAGTGGCGTTCTTTTCGCCGCCATCGAGATTCCCATCGCGGGGTTCATACCTAAGACCGACCGATCTCAAAGTGAGTCTCAGTTCAGATCTCAACTCACCATCCATCTCACCACCCAAGCAAACTAACCATGGCATCCCGTCGTACAGCTTCACTCCCAACCCCTTCAAATATCCGAATCTCACATTCGTCGGCGACCCCGCAGCCGGGCAGATATCCCAACGGTCGATACCAACGGGTATGACGGTCAGAAGCTTCCAGAGCCATCCGTGGTAATCCGTCCCGCCCAACCCCCGCAAAGTAAGTGTTTCAAATGGTTTCACTTACCAACTCACCCCTCTATCAAACTCATGGTCAACTAACTTCCCATCCTTCACCCAGTTGGTCAAGAAGTTCATCATCAACTTCGACAAGACCTGTATCCACTTCGACAAGATCTCCATTCACTTTGAGCTTCTGGACGGCACCACGTATGATATCAGAGGCAACGACACGATTAACGGCAAGGCCGACCGAAGTGGATGGAGTAAGCGGCAGGCCACCCTGATCCTTATATCTTTGCAGATGGGATGTGGCGGTTGAAACCCAAGCTCATTTCAAGGCCACCTCTGACGTCAGCAAACCACGGATTCCCCGACTTAAAGTAAGACAGATTCATTTTTTCACATCTTTCTGATTCTTTCTTCTTACATCAACCTTTCCACATCCATCCCCACATGGGGTTTTAGATTGTCGTTTTTCTTCCTTTCATTCTCTCTCTCTTGTTTCCATGGCCAGTACGGCTGTTAGTCTATGATAAGACCTCAACCCGATGGAAGGGTAAGCCAGAAGTGTCGCGTCCGTTCTCCCACTGCCTGTGGGTAAATAGTGCATTCCCTATTTGGCCATGGGGAAAAAACCGAAAGAAGGTAAGAAACCCCATTCTTGTCTTCGAGTCATTTTTTCTTTTGCTCCCTTTTGTCTTTTTCCACTTGTCCCATACTGATCCTCGGCATATTTGGATTTCAGCGCATGAAAAAGCTCTTCTTCCAGCCCAGCCCAACGCTTCATGCTCGTCGTCGATTCGAGTTCAATACGAAAAAGGATTAGATTCTTCCTCGCTCCAATCGTGGGCAGAACTTGTGGCATCGAGGTCCGCAATTCAATCAACATGACTCGTCACATTTTCATGTGCCCAAATGTCTCCGAATCAACTCGGCGGGCGGGGTGAACCCCGTGAGCTTTATCGGATCACAACTTTCTTCAACATGCTGTTCACTGCCAGTCTAACGTTGGAGACGGCATGTACCTTTTCTTTCAAGACCTGCTACTCCGCGGCACGACCGGATTGGGACGCAACTGCAGCCTCCACCCTCCACTGCTGCAGGCCGCTGCAGGGGAAAAAGAAAAAAAAAAGGAGCCGCTAAGACTTCGTTGCAGAGCCTGTCAGCGTCAGAAACTCTGGATTATAAATCGACTAATGCCGTCTGAACTGTTCATCCGGTATCCATGCCTTGGAGGTTACTGTGCCCGTCTTGACTCGTACAGCCGGGCTGACGTCCTGGTGGCCTTTGACAACGGAAATTTCACCGGGTACAGTTCACGCGGTTTGGTGGACCGAAATCGGTAGCTGGGTAGACTCAAACTGGTCCCTGGATAGACTAAACCCACTTTTATCGCTGAGTAAGCCCAGCCGCCCAGCCAGCCGCCCAACCCAGCCTAGCCCAGCCCAGCATACCGTGCAACTGAGGCCACATAATCGATGCCCGCGCATCGCCAAATCTACGTCGTTGTCGTCATTTTTTATATAAAGGTATTCAGAGTTATTAATCCAATTAATTGTTTACTGCTGAGGGTGTTAATACTACAGTTGCTAGTAATATTATTATTTTCTATACTAGCCCTATTACTATATATACTATATTTACTATATTTATTACTTAGAATATACGTGCTTACCCTAATTTTAATACCCGTTGTATAAGTATTACTTAGAGTACTATAGAGCCTGTATATATCCCTATAAATATATTGGAGGTATTAGAGGCGGTACTATAGGGATTAGAGTTCGATTATATTACATTATTAGTATAATTTACCCCTATAAACTATTTTACTATTAATTAGAAAGAGGAAGGAAATTCTAATTTAGTTAGGATTAGGGTATTAGAATTAATTATTTAATAGGCGCTAGTATTCTATAATTAAGTTAGTTTGAGCCACTATAAATTAATAAATAGTTATAAGGCCGCTATATTTAATTATTTAGCGGCTAGTACTAAATTTAGGGATAGGGAGATAGGGAGAGTGCTAGAATTTTCTATAAGGGAATTAGAGGATAAAAAGACGAGGGTAAGGGTATTAGAATCGATTGCGGGGGTATTAGAAAAAACGTTAACACTAATATAAATCGCGCTATAGCCTTTATAATAACATTATTTAAATCCTCTTATATAATTTAGTTTACTTATTCATAAATCCGCCTTCTAGCCCGAAATTATTTTTAGTAGGTTAGCGCCCTCCCTCTTCTCTAAATATTTTACTATATTACCCGGCGGGGCAATTTGTCGTAAGAGAATATATAGCGGTTATTATACTAATTGCGGTTAATAAGCGTAGTAATGGTAGGCGCGGCGGTAGCGGGCTAAATAAGGCTTTAATTACCCTCGAAATCGTATAATTTGAAAATTTCCGGGTTTATAAAATCTCGTCTTAATATTCTATATATATGATTAATAAGGTTTAAATCGGGGATAATTATTCGTCTTTAGCGGTTAAGTAAGGTAGTAGGGTTTTAAATTACATAAGTACGTTATTTGATTTCGGTTAATTTAATACCGCTATTTAACTTTATTTATTAATATATAATTATATCCTCTATAATTAATATTAATAATATGATTATTTATAATAGTTTTAATATAGAATATTTGTAAGGTAAATTATATTAAACTATAAATGCCTTTTTGTATTTAATATTTAGGTTTTAATAAGGGTCTTTTATTTAATCATTATAAGTATAGCGGTATTAGTACTATATAAATTTGAGGGTATATAGTATTATTTATATATAAAAAAGAAATTAGGAGGTTAATTAATTAAATTTCTAATTCTATTTATAATGGTAATAATAAAAAATAGTATTTTTACGTACTTTCAATACCAAATTATTAAATATCCCTACCCTTTTATATTTATATAAATACAATTACTTCGCTATAGTATATTGTAATTTGAATACCTCTCTTTAAGAGTAGTAGGTATAGTATATATATTCGTATAGTTAATTTAAAAAGGAGAAACGGTTCTTAAAGAGGCGTTTAATAGTTCTATATATAAATTCGACTCTATTAATTACCTTAATGCCAGAATTCCTATATTTTAAAACGGTATAATTCCCAAACTCGTTAATCCAAAAGAAGTAATATTTGTAAAGGTAAACTAGGAGAATTAAAAAACTATTAGCGAAAAGAATGTATAATATATTATAGCAAGGAAGGGAGTTGAGGATAAGGGTTATTGAATACGTACGAATTTATCGTTTAAATTTATATACTTTTAAATACTATGCCCGCTAAAAGTAATTATTATTATTAATATAAACTATTTAATTCTAAGCAATTTAGAAGCCTTTATATCTATATGAATAGAATTAATAAGTAGGGTTAAAGGTTAATATATTACGATTACGTAGAATAATAATTTTAATTATTAATTTTTTAATTATTTAACGAACTTTTTACTTATTATTAAATTATTAAATAAAATAATTAACGGCGGTAATATCGTTAGCCTCTTCTAAGTCGTCTTCTTCTAAGTTATCGTTAACGTATTCGTCTTTTTTTATCAGTATTACTATCGCCAAATTTATTATTATTAATTACTGTAAGCCTTCAGTACAATAAGGGATTGAGATTATAATTATCTAAATATTAGATAGTTAGTGGGAGATTTAATAAATTTATATTAGGGGTAGGATTATTATTACTATTATTGCTATTAAAGAAAGGTTATATTTTTTTTATTAATATAGTAGTTTATGTTGTTTATAATATACGATATATAGAATTAATATAATACGTTTATATAGGTAGTAATAGCAGCCTTTTTAAACCTTCTATCGAACTTAGTAATAAATATTATAGGGTTAGGAATTTCGTAATCATCTTAAAGCTTTTTTAAATAATTAAATTGCTATTCAAAATCTTTTTACCTTTCCCCGCTCGAAAGACGGAAAGCAATATTAAAATTATAATTAAATATATTAATACTAATAACATTAAGAAAGGGAAGGTTAAAACGGTTAATTTATAAGGGAAAAAAAGGGGTTAATTAATTAAACTCTATAAAAATAGTTAAATTAGAAAGTAATTAAATTAAAGAGTAATGAAATTAATAAATGTAATAATACTTTATATATATTATCGATTAGTAAAATATAGGAGTTCTTCTTCTATATTTCTATATATTAATTTAAAATTTAGAATATTCGCACTACCTTCTATTTGTTAGGAAAGAGCGGGTTATAATTAATAAAGTATTCAATACTATATACGTCTTTATACTATTTTAAAAAGTTAAAAAATATTTTTATTGAAGAATAAGGACTATATTTTATACGGCGAATACGCTTTTAAATATTCAAAACCTCCTAAATAATAATAAGGACTCGAAGACTACACAACTTTAATATTAAATTATTACTATTAATACGTTAAATAAAAATAACGGTTTCTACTTCGATTTTAAGATCCAAAGTACCGCTTAGGTAATAAGCAATTTAATGAAAATTTATTCTAATAATACTAAATAACCTTTTAATAATATTATTAACAGCCTCTTTATAATAGCGACGGATTTATTATTAACAAACAATATTACTAATAACATTAATAATATTAACATTATAATTATAATTATTATTAATCTCTTTAATAAATTATTAATCACCTTACTTTTTCCTTAATACGAATTTTATTTAGTAAAGATAGTCGAATCGACGTAAAATAGTATTTCGAATTCTTTACCCAATACTACTTTTATAAATACAATTATATATATAAGAATAATTAATACATATAACGAATTACTCTTTTCCCCTCTTCCTACTCTTTATATTACTATATAATTAAATTATAAAATTTTATTATACAGCGTATTCTTATAAGGCATAGAACATAGCGACCTTATTATTATAACCCGACGAAGTAAATAACGGTCTTACTTATCGTCCGATTAATAAAAGTAAAAGCGAAAAAAAGAGAATTTATTATTTAATAGTAGCGCGCTTACTAAGGGACTACAATAACCGCATGCTTACTTACTCTTTACTGGGACAGCGGATTAATAGCGATTAAATTTTAATAATAAAGGTCGTACTCTTATTAGAAATAATTATTCGAAACGGACTTTTCAGATTTGAAGGCATTTTACTAGCAATTTTAATTAAATCCTATTAACGCTAATTATCTTAATCGGCTAAATTGGAAATCTAATTTACTAAACGAATACGCAACGTACGGAGGGCAGGCGGACGGTATATTAATAAATACTATAAAGTCGAGGATACTATATTAAATAATAATAAAAACGAAGGATAATCGTTATAAACAGTTGCTCAACATTAAAGTAAAGTCTCGCAATAGCTTTATTTAATTATATAAAACTAATTATTGTTAATAAATAGCGCGACGGTAGCGGCGGTTAGGTAGTGATATATACGTTATACACAGTATATTAGGCTAGGCTGGGCTTGGCTAGGCGGCTGGCTAGGCGGCTAGGCTTACTTAGCGATAAAAGTGGGTTTAGTCTATCCAGGGACCAGTTTGAGTCTACCCAGCTACCGTTTGCGTTGGTGGACAGGGCTCATGGACTCGGCGACCGACACTGACGGTCTTGTCTGGATGGGGTACAAACTGAACAGGAAACCGCACCAAGCCATTGCCACACTCGGCGGCAGGAAAGGGCAGAGATCAAAGAGGCATAGCAAAGAGGAGCTGCTATTGATGTCCTGCAGCGTGCAGCGATGTTTGGCACCTGTCGATTGGTCCGATAGACACACCCCTGGAAATCCGGAACCCACGGCAGTCTTCCAATACGATCACGGTCTCACCAATTGCATGGCCCTAGGACCGCATCAGGAAGGAACTCCAGCGATTTGGGGTGTCTCGTGCGCGTTTCACAGTAAAACGACCATGAAAGCGACTGTACACTTTTGCTTTGGCCGTACGTTACCCATCAACCATAATTGGTTTAAAGTCCCGCCCATGGAACGACTCTGTCCCAAGTCCCAGCTCCTCCATTCACGAGACCACACAATTTCCCCCAGCGCTTCTGGCTTCTCACTTTCGATCTCCCGAAAGCAAGCAGCTGTACTCGGCTTTCATTCACGCAGTCACGACCATGAGTTCCAGCACGCAAAACCCTCAAAGCCCCAAGAGCCCCCAGAGCCCTAAGGGCAAAGCGACCTCGCCGGCACCCGCAGCTGCCCCGACCCCGCTCAGCGCTGAGGCGCAAGACGCAGCTGGCATTCTTCCTGCAACCCATTGGACGGAGCAACCGGTAACTACCTCAAGCAGCTTCCTGGTCGTCAAGTTGGCTTGCACCTGCTAACACCCCCGCCCATGTTTGTAGCTCCCCGAAGAGGATGTGGATGATGGGGCGTCTTCCATCGGCTCGTTCACCTCCACCACCGCTTCTCTAAGCTCGAGCATTTTCCAGTACCGCGAAGTCCACGGGAGAACGTACCACGCCGAAATTGGCAACGCCGAGTCATGGGAACCCAATGATCAACGCCACGTTGATGCGATGGAGATTTTGTAAGCATCTGCACAATCCTCTGGCAAAGTAGCCCTACCTTCGAGGGTAGAAGGCTGACCACCGGAGAAGTCATCACGCTATTCTGGTACATATGGGAGGAAAGCTATATTTCTCTCCTCTCGAACAAAAGAAGGTTCAGAAGGTACTCGATATTGCAACGGGGGCTGGCCTGTGGGTGATGTAAGTCTTGTCCTCTTCGTTGCCTTCCGTTCGGATGGTTTACTCAACCGCCTCTCAGATGGCTTACTTAAGCGCATCTTGGATGGCTTACTAAACCGCATATTCAGTGACTTCGCCGACGAATTCCCCAACGCCGAAGTTATAGGCACAGATGTCTCCCCTATCCAGCCTTCTTGGGTCCCCCCCAACGTCAAGTTTGAGTTGGACGATTGCAACCGGGAATGGACCTGGCCGGAAAATACGTTCGATTTCATCAATTTCCGTTTCTTAAACGGCATTGTTGATGATTGGTATACCCTCTTTCGTAACGCCTATCGAGTCGCTAAACCCGGAGGCTATGTAGAGAGTTATGCTACGGGATGTCGATTTTTGTGTGGCGACGGGACCTTGAAGGAAGGTTGTGCTCTGGAACAATGGGGTAAGGTTTACCAAGAGGGTGGTAGAAAGCTTGGAAGAACATTCGCAGTATACGAAGAGGATCTCCAGCGGAAAGGAATGGAGGCAGCTGGGTTTATTGATATCGAGTTCAGGGATATTCAAATCCCGGTAGGTGGATGGCACCCTGAGAAGGAAGCAAATGAAAGGGGTCTGTGGTGGAAGTTAGCCATTGAGGGGGATCTTGAAGGTAAGCTGGGTCGTCAATAACCCCCCCTCCGCGCCCCCCTCCCCCCTTCCTTCATAAGCACCGATCCAGCCAATCCTGACATACGCTCTAGGATACATCAACTACCTCTGGAATTCAGTCCTTGGCTGGACTCCCGATGAAGCGAAAGCTTTTACCCGTTACATGAGAAGGGATTTGAATGATCCTAAGATCCACGGATACTTTATGGCGCGTGTTGCATGGGGTCGAAAGCCGGAATAAGCATCGCTACAGTTGGAGCGACTGGTTGGGAGCCACATTGACCGGGAGGATAGATATGTTTGGGATTTTTGGGACAAGACCGGTGAGATACGTTGCAGTTTTGAGTAAACAGAACCGCCGCTTTCTATCTGGGTAATGACAAGACACACGCAGTGCATTTTCTATCAATATATCAGATTTCCTTCATGCGTCCTCATCCTCCATCGGTCGCTACCTCCCAGTGTTTCCGTCCGCGAAATGTCCTGACAGTCACGCCCACAGCAATGAAAGCCACCAAGTCCCGGACGTTGTTCTTTCCAACCCTCTGGAACGCAGCCCATATTGTCTATCTGAAGTCAAATACCCGGCATCCCATATTACCGGACCATGCTAACACTCGAGTCACAGCGTCGATCACGGCACTTGTCCAACGGTGTACGGTATATCCCGCTTCGGCTCGGGTACTGTCCACACTACATCAAGATAAAACAGATCGACAACGGCATCGTGAATTTGCCGCCAACCATCGATGCACTTCCCCTCCCAGCGTTCCTGCACCTCTTGGTTACAACACACGGGATCATATGGAACTTCAACGAACAGCGACTGGACCTCTGGCCATCGATGCCACTTCTGTGCTCCCTGAGGGGAACACAAACACCAGTCACTCAGTATAAAGCAACACGTTATGGTATCCATCAAGACTCACTCCGAGAAGCGTCAAGCGACGCTACCGCCATCTCCTCCTCTATACCTTCTTCACCTCCGCGGGCACCGACAGACCGGGACACGATCACATGGTCCGACCTTCTCTTCCAACTTGCTTCCTAGCAACCCTATTACCCACCCTCCCTCTCATCTCCGCCGCCTTCGCCTCCGTCTCGGGCTCGACAACCTCACAATACACCCGCTCCTGCCTCAAATCCATCACCTCCCAATAAATCACCGCCCAATCACTCGGTGAATCCACGGCCTTCATCACCTCCCTCCTCTCTGCCCACGGCAGCAATTTCACCCACCCCGGTACCGGTAGCAGCACCTCACTACCTCCCGCTCCCCAACTACCCCCGGCCCAGGCCACTATGCCAACACCACCACCAATCTCATCTACAAAGAAAACGCATCCCCCCTCTCCCCACCTCCCCGAACTCAACCCTCTCCATCCCCCTCAAAATCGACTTCCACCGCTCCGCCCACGACCCCCTTCGCTGCGCGACTTTCACCGAACTCATCGCCGCCAGCAACACCACCATCCGTATGTTATCCACACCCGCATAGAGGTTTCCCCCTTGACTCTCCTGCCGACAGTAATCGAGAGTATCGTCACAGATGAGGGAGATTGGCTCTTTAACGCCACCGGTACCCTCACCCTCACCCTCCAAGAAGGATCCTGGCCTCCCATCCCCATCCCCTTGACCTCCTCGCTCCGCAATAGTAACACCTACGCCGAAATCCAAGCCGTCGGTGATTCATACTTCAACCGCTTCGCCAACACCTCCGTCTCCGTCCCCTGGGGACCGCCCTTTCTCCGAATCGAAGGCAGCTTCCCCGCGCTGGGGAACCTCATCACTTCTACCGGCGACTGCATCCAGGAGTGGCCGGCGAGCACGATCATAGTGCCGTGGAGACGGTACGTGGTTGATCAGGAGATGGGGACGGTGGATATCTTTGTTGGGTTCCCAATCCCGGGGCTGGATAGGAGTTAGGGGCAGAACAAGGCGATGGGGGATAGTCATGTTTTTAGGGTGGAGGGGGGGAGGATTCGGTTTTTGCATACTGTTAGTGCGTGTGTGGTGAGGGGGTATGGGTTGAATGGGACTTCCTTTGGTAATGGGATGGGGATGCCCGGGATGGTGGAAGGGGGGTTGGGACAAGGGCAAGGGGAGAGGAGGGTGAAGGGGGTGGGGAGGAGGAGGAGTGTGAGGACTGGAAAGGCTTGGAGGTTGGGGAGGTGGTGACTGTGAGAGTGTGAGAAGGGAATAGGAGGAACGGGAGAATTTGGGAGATGAAAAGTCGGGGAGCTGTTGCTGATGAGTGACCGGTCGAAATGGTTGTAAGAATAAACCGAACATGTCACGGTCAGAACCTATATCAGACCTTGGGTATACTCACCACGCCATCCATGCGTCTTTATTATACCTTTGTTCACAACCTCTAGCCAGTTCCTGGATGGGAGAATCCCTAATGGACCCTGATCGATGTGTTTCTAAACTCTTGTAATGCCTATCACAGTTTTGTAACGGCCTTGCCCAACCACACCGAGCGGTATTGGACTGTCCGTCCGTTTTGGGTTTCTTCTTACGACCGCTCGGTGGTGTCTGCTTGTGTTCCACAGTCTGGTACTGCTGTGTTGGAGAATCATACACTCCCGTAGCGGGAAAACCCCCAGGGCACCTGATCTAAAGTGACGATACTTCTTTCCCCAAGTTCATTTCCTCCCAGAAATTCCACCACCCTACATCAATGGAAAGAACGAAGCCCGCCTTCAATTAATTGGGCCAGTGGCTCAATGGTTCTCGCCGTCGCTTTCTTTCTTGTGATCGCCAGTTCGATTCCAATTGACGACAGCTTTTTTTCCGTCGCGCGAAAAGTTTCGCGCGGAAGTGTAAATGCCCTCATCCGAACTTTAAAGCCAAAGTCAAATACCACAACCACCTCTAAACTCCCAAGACCATCCCTAACTAAAGACCCTATAGTGGCCTTCTAGAAGGTCCTTATAGGGGTCTTTAACTTTTGCCATTTTGCACCCAAATCCGACCAATCAGAGGCCTTCCCTGACCAACTAGCTAGGCTAGGTGATTGAACTCGGCAAGTCCCACTATCATGGTTAGAATTTGGACCTAGGCTAGGCACCCCCCCTGCTATGCTAGGTGCCCTCCTTATACACCCGCTGCGGTCGTTACGCTCAAGATTGTCTTCATATGCGCCCTTTCTCTTATCTGAAAGGTTAGGTAAATTTGTACATCAACACTACACCTAGAGGCCCGGTGTTCTTCTTCGACTCCTCAATATGACCCGCCCTTATCACCCGGACTGCTCCTTGAGAGACCACATCCCCCTTTCCGCTTTCTCGGCCAACCCTTGCTATAGCCACTCCTTGTATTCAAGCCCATTCAAGTTAACCTGTTATTGTGCTGGTTCAGATTCCGCAAAGATCGCCAACTTCATGCCTTGATGAAGATGAACAGATGAGACCTGTATGCCCCGCTGAATGTTGAGCTCGGAGGACACTAGTATCAGACTCCCAATCTCCCAGGAGTGTAGCCAAATTCTTGCCAATGATAACACAGCTTGTGTTGCAATTGAAACCGTCTTTCCACCGTGGAAATAACTGCTATAGCATGGCTGGACGTGAACTTCCACCTGTATGTCGACTTCCTTTGGAAGAGTTGAAGAAACGGCTGAGGATCAGGGTGGACGGTGGTTGGTTCGCTTGAACCCCAAAAATAAGGGAAAGAGTAGAAAGGAAGGAAGGAAGAGCCGAGAGGAGCTCAAGGGCCGCTTGCTATGTGTGTGAGAAACTGGGCAACACTATCATGATGGCTGGGTTGAGGCTGAGAAGGGAGGGCCACAATGATATCATCCAGATCTACGCCCCGCTCTCCAACAGAGACACACCTGCTCCCACCGTCAAAGTATAGCGGGAGCCGGTGCCAGGCTGAGTTGTAATACTTCTCGGCAGACCTGAAATGAGGCCCGACCTGCTTCTCTTCTACAACGAGCTCCATGTTGTCACCCGCTCCCTCCACCCGGACCGAGCAAAAGTATCTGCCTTTGAGCGGAGACCGGGGCAAGACCACGGGCTGTGCGTCCAACAAAATGTAGCTCCGCCCTCCAGCACTGATCGGAGGAATCGTCTCGGGGTCGTCGTGTTGGAGATTGGGGTTCTGGTCGGCATAAAACGGGTCGAAGTTTCGCCTTCTTTGGTGCTGAGCATGCAGTCGGTAAATTTGGGTTGCTGGGTCCGAGTGCACTGTTGAAGAATTTGAGGTGTCAGGAGTGTACTGAGATTGAGCGGGTTGAACTTCTTTGTGAACTTCTTTGTGCGAAGCATTTATAAGGTAAGCAGAATGGATGAAAATACTCACATAGTAAAAGATTGTGGTTGCGGAGTTGTCCCACTTCTTACTGCCGGCCTGCTTGACCTGGATGCCGATGGCTGCTCCTTGCTTGAAAAAGGCCTCAGCCGTGATTAGCTTGAGGGCTGCGATAGCGGCTCCCCAAGCGTTTCGAACGGAGCTACCAGGATGGTTAGATGTCATTAGCAACTAGCCAGAAGAAAATGGTTGTTCGATGGTACGGAAACTTACTCATTGTCCAATCCCGCACTGTTCACAAATGTGGCCGCCGGCAAGCCTAGCTGGCTGATCAGCTGTTCCATCTTCTGCCTCAGCGGCTTGTTGCGGATGGACCCCCCGCGATTACGATGAACGCATCCGGGATGATTCCGTTCTCATCCCTCGAAGTAATTATCTTGAGCTTTATCAGCTCCTTCTTGGCAAGGTCAAGCATGGCTTTGTATGCTTGATTCCAGAGGTGGTCTCGGAGGTTACTGTCGAATACGAACCGTCTATGATGGTTGTGTTCGTCCAATATATCGATGGCCAAACCATCGTCTGGCATGAATGAACCAGGCCCCCAATTTTCACGGAAGGCTAGCCTGATGAATTTGGCCCGAATTTCGGCTTTTGCGTGCCCAGAGAGTGGTTGGCCCGCGAGAGGAGTGTCTCTCACCATCCTTCGGTACTGCTTCTCGCACTCCTGCATAACATGGTGAAGCAAATGTTCTCCTCCACCGCCGACACCTGTAACAAAACATGTTTCGGTTAGAGCGGACTAAATGAAAGTCGTGGGGAGCCGTTATGGCAAGTGTATTGAAACCTACCAAATGCGGGTCCTAGCTTGAAGAACTTTGGCTCACCACCCTCGACGCTGTAGACCCAAAACTTTGAGCCGTTCTGAAATACGTAATGTTAGCTAAGCCCAATAAGGAGTCACGCTATCCGAGGCTCTTACCAGGTTATGCCCACCAAAATCAAGAACTAGGCACACCTTGTGCTTGTTCTGGCTAGCGAGCGCCACTGACGCCTCCTCGAAATCCTCAGATTGGAGCAACAACTGGCCAAGTGCCTCTGTCTCCGTGTAAAAGAAGATCTTCCTTCTGGCCACTTCGATCTCCCATTCGAAGGCCTCGGCGAGAAGTTGGGTGTAAACCTCCTCGAACTCAAGAGTCCATTGGTTTGGAATGGTAATGGAAAGTTTACCAACGACCCAGCCGCGACGCCTAACGACCGGGTTCTCCTCGATCTTGTTCCTTAGATGCCTAAACATCTGGATCATTCCTTCTCTGAGCCTAGCACGGAGCTCCGGGCTGTCGGCGTCGCGCAACCGTTTCATCAGAGGATACTGTGGAAACAGGTTGTTTGGGTCGCCTGAGAAAAGGTAAAAGCCGTATTTCAACGACTCCTGTTCTCGATTCGGATCGAGCATGGTGGGAAGATAGACGGGTCCATTGGAGTCGTATGGATAACCATGAGCTGGGAAGCTCTTGTCATCCTGGCTGAGGGGGTGCAAGTTCGGAATGAACTTGTGAGACTGGTCGTTTGCCAGGACGAATGCACGAATGCCGGTGCTTCCCAAGTCGATTCAAACGCAAACCTCTCTGTTGGTAAGGGTATCCCTACGTTACTACTGGCATCCAAAGAATGATGGGCTTTGCGACATGTGATGGCCGCACTGGGACAGAGATCTTTGTTTGGTGGGGTGAACTTACTGCGGAGGATTCGCCATCTTGGCTGCTTTGTGTCGGCCTGGAAAACTGCTGGGTAAAGGGCGCAAGTAAATGAGGCAGAAGAAGTAGCGTGTTTTGTCCACTCTTTGCAAGCGAAGCAAGGCTTGTTGGAAGATTGAGCGACGGTTGATGCTGGCAGAGCAGGGAAACGAGCGCGGTGAGAATTTGGCGTGAACCTGCAAGGAAAAGGAGGGGAAGAGGAAGGGAAGCGAAGGTCGGCCAGAAGTGCCCCAAGCGACCGGGCAGGCAACCAGGCAGCCCGGGCACTTACGACCGGGAGTCAAAGTTTCTGTGGGTCTGAGAAAGCCCTAATTGACGACCAAGGCCTTTACCTGACGTACAGATAGTGAGAAATACCAGACACGGGATGAGAGGACACCAAGACATAGGTATTCACCCTTCACCTACGACCATTGTGGATTCAGGAGTGGAAAGCAACGTCGAGTGCGGCCAAGCAGACACTACAGTCTCAAAACAGGGCCGTTTAAACTCATGAACATCAACGCAGGCACCTGCCAGATATGACGATTGGTTTTATATTCTGTTTGTGGCGTAAAGCACTGAATCCATTAGTAAGGTAGCTGCCCATGTTCGAGGGCCACCTGTATAGTAGACACAATGTCCGAAAGTTTATGGAATCGAGTTTGGCGAACATGTGAAACCTAGGTACTTTCCCTTGCTTCGGATTGAAATAAGAGTGGACTGGCTTGGCCACAATTGGGAGGTGCCCCGTATCAACTTGCCATGAGTTTGATCTGAACTTCAATGGGGTACGTCGCAGAAGAATAAGATACCTATTCATTGAGTGGCGTGAGTCAATGGGACAGGACTGGCTTGATCTTTGAGGAACAATACTAGAGTTTGCCATGACCCCACACCTAGATCTGTGGCCAAACAAAGAGGATTGCGACAACAAAGACAATAGCTTGGAATCTATTCAACCATGACATCTTTGATAATGATGTTCTTCTCCATGCTCTTAGGATTCAACCCGACGTCTTCCCGCCGACCACAAAGGATTTCTCTCTCCACAACCATCTCAAGCACCACTAGACAAAAACCCGCTTGTCGTCTCGCAATAAGTACAACTGCCTCGAATCTCATCAAAGTTACCGCCTTCTCAACGTGAGCATTGACTTTGACATCTTCAAAACACTGACCCTCAGGTTCACCACCTGTGGCTTATCACCTCACACTCCCTTCTTCGTACAGGAACTCGCGGATCTTCCGTACCTACCTTCAACTTCAGCCTTCAGCAGCATCGGAGGCTTCCCCGATACATGAGCGGCGAGAACGGTCCAGGCTCGTCTCCGCGTCCGCTCACTGCGTATGATCCCGAGCCCTTCGAACCCGGTACGGCAGAGTTCGTCAAGCTGAAGGATGATGAGTACGATGCTTACCTCAAAGCACGCCATCAACTCGATGAGGTGCAAAGGCAAGCCCAAAGAATATTTCAAGGCTTTTCGTTCCGTTTCTCTGACTCCAACGCCCCCTTCGGAGTAAGATGGGAGGAAACGGTTGAGCAACTTCGAGTGTACAAGAAACGACATGAAGACATCTTCGACGAACTTGCAACCCTTCTAGGTTCACCATTGAGAGCACAAGTCCTTGTTGCCCCCAGGCATGTGTTCATGCCTCCGCTCTATCCATACTATGAGCTCGTCGATTGGCAGAACAACTGGAAGATCCAGATAACGCCTGTTTGCGACCATCCGTGGTATGACGCGTGGAAGGCGAACCCCGACATGGTACTAGACAGCGCAGAGAGTGCTGATTCCCTGCCACCAAACTCACTCCCAGAGCGGGACCCGTATCGTGTTCCTCGAACGAGGGAGAATCCTTGGGGGGATCCGATGTTTGAGGTGGACGTACCAACCAGACACCAGCCTAACATTGGCAGGGGCAACCGCCATGTAGAACCCGCTGCTAGCACCGCTACCGAAGCGACCACCAACGCCCCAGGTCCTTCCGCTCCCGACCCCACCGTTAAAACCACTGCCTCTTCCAGCACAACAGGTCCGACCGTGCCACCAGTGGCAGCCGGCTCATCTGCCTCCAAAACTCGACAGACCACCAAAGTCACGGCCCCTGCCCAGACTGCGCGCTCCCTTCGCGCCCAAACCAGAGTTGGTCAGCGCGCCGTCACGCCCGCTGTCGACGGCGCAGGCCCTTCGACCCGCTCCCGCTCCCGATCCTCCTCCCCCGATCCATTCATTCGCCGCCCCAAGAGATACACAGCGAAAGAAAAGGGCAAAGGAAAGGCCACGGACGCCGTTGAGGACAACACCGCTGCCGCCGCCGCCGCCGCCTCCTCAACGAAAGCCAGCGGATTCGGATCCGGCTCTGGAGCCGTGTCGCCCAAGAAAGACAAAGGAAAAGGCAAAGCCAGAGTGACCTCCCCCGGTCCTCCCTCCTCCTCCTGCGCGACCGCCAACAAAGTCATCAAGTCGTCAAGCTTCAAGCCCGCCGCCGCTGCCCAACGCGCAACCATCAAGCGCTCGCAAGTGAAGAAGGGCAAGTACTGGGCTTTCAAAGCGGAACAACACCTTCTTGCTGCTGCTGGTCTTGATGACTCCGACAGCGACGACAGCGACGACAGCGACGATAGTGATAGTGGCGAAGCCAAGAACAAAAACGACAAGTTCTTCGTGCTCGCTTGCCCCGCTCCCGAGCTGCTTGGAGTGTGTCAGGCCGATACCCCGAACTTTAATCGGCATCCCTTCAAGAGGAACAGAGCGGTGGAACACTTCAGGAAGTGTGGTGTTGAGGCGGAGGGTGAAGAGGATATCTTTGCGCGGTTTGCTAGGGAAGGTTAGTCATTCATTCTCTTTGCTGTTTTTTGTGATTGTGATTTCGAAAGCAGAAGAGCGGTTGGCTAATGTCTTTGTTGTCATTGAACAGTTGTCCAAGATACGGCAAGATGGCCGGTTAATGAGGAGTGGGCGAGGAAACATAACCAGGGCTTGATTGGAAAGAGATAGAGATGGGGATGAGGCGATGGAGGATTTGGAGTGATTGCACTTGTGTCATGGATGGTATAGGGAGAGAAGGGTTATGTTATTGTCAAGTGACTGTTGGAGGATGTTCGAATGAACATCAAAGCAGGAGTGACAATGCTTGTCCAAACTTCTATGATGACAAGAAAGAAGGTACAAGGGAGCAAGTTCTCTGGGAAGGAAGCGTCATGCGGCATGGAAGGAGTTGTGGTCAGCGTCAGGTATATAAGGTAGGGGAAGACTACTTCCACAGAAAATAGACATTTGGGAACCTCATCTATTTGCACAGTCTATCGGACACGTCTCTGTTATATAGAAATAGACTCCCTCATATGCAACCATTGCCTTTCCACACAATCATCCAAAACAAACATCACAACAGGGTTTATGCATCTCTGTAGCTGAACGCCAGAATGCTCGAAGTTCACCGCATTTTCAGCAACAACGCGACCGTTTGACAGTAGTTGTCGTGAGCGGCTTCTTCGACTATCGCAGTCGTAGTACCACTTCAGCGACAGGCGACATTCACAGATCATATCTCATACCTAACGGTCGCCCCTTCGCGCACTTTCTGCTCTCTTCGGCAGAGTATCCTCAAGTAGCGAAGCTCTTGCGTGGCTGAGAGCAACAGAGGGTCTGTCTCGTCCTGCAATTTGGTGGCCACAACTTGGTAAGACTCATTCACTGCCCTCGCATGCATGTTACATCGGTTTTGTACAGTAATGATGTTGATACTTGACCTCAGAATGGCGCTATTTTCTGGGTACATAGTACTCAGCACCAGGAGCCAAAGTTTTTCAGACAAGATGACGCGTTCGGTAAGTCCTACTATGCAATCGCGGCAACAAGTACACGGTTCAAGCTCAGGTTCAACTGGATACTGATCATACAATACCTCTAGGCATTGGCGGTGGAGGAGAGCACCTCTACTTCAATGTGCTTCAGTCGTGCGAAGGGAAGTACAAGGCACGACCAGGCGCTGCCGTGGGGGATAGACTTTTCGTGGCTGCAAAGAAACAAATAAGGCAGAAATTTCCTATGGAGTGCCGTCACTCTTGGAGTCCAGGCGACTATCTTCCCGGCCCGTATTTGTTCGATATCTTCGACAACAACTTTAACCACGTACAACTTATCTTTAGCCAACGTCAGATCGACGATCTCTGAGAGAGAGCGTACAGAGGGTGATTGACGTTGTCGAGGAGCAATGGCAAAGAGTCAAGAGGCTGACCTCTAAAAAGCATAACAGAATCAAGCCTGTCCCTATTCGATATCAGGACTCATGGTATGCTCAGGCATACGACCCCTGTCCGGAGCCGTACGTCTCCTCATTTTCCGACCCCGAAGACTATTACGACTCAGAGCTCGCGGCCTATAAGTCTACCTCACCCTTCCCCAAGCCTAGCTACCCGACCTACCCCGAGCCTTACAGCTCCAAGCCGCCTCCAGCGCCATTGCTGCAGGAGGCAACATCGGCAACAAGCTTTTGTATGACAGGGTACAGAGCCTCATCAACATTCACCAGGGCGATGAGTTTTGCCTTGTGTGCGATCCCTGGTACGCCGATAAAACCCCAAACATCCAGAACGAGGACCCCAACTCCCTTTCTCAGATCAGCGCAGAGCGTGGGTACGTTCTGCTTCAAGGCCAACGCTCTGTTTTGCCTCCCAGTCGCACTGAGGGCAGGTATTTCATCAAGGCGGATATCAGAGGAAATGGCAACAACATGCAGCTTGTCCTGGAAATAGCGCTGGTTGCAAACCCCTATCGAGCCCGAAGCAACCGCTATGAAAAGATCGATTCCCGGCTCCCGCTGTACTATGAAGGTGGGAACAACTGTGTTTGTGTCGGAGAAAGGGGAAAAACCTTGCGCGAGGTCATCAGGAGTGTGATATTTGGTCAGTCCGCTGTCCGGACGAGACCCAACTTTTATAGATCGATAGTACCTACCTTATCTATATGTGAGTTTAGTCTCTCCTCGTTCTCTTCTCCTGCAACCAAACAGCTCACTAGCACTTAGGGCCGACGAGACTATCGAGGCCATGAATAAGACCACAGAATGGATGGTCAATCGACTTTGCGTGAATTATCCCGGCGCAGTGGAACCTCGATTTCGAAGAGGTCTATTTGCAGCTCATAGGCGAGGCCTTACTGGACTTTGGCCTCGGCACGGGATCGTGTCATCTTCTTCTACGAGGCTGAGGCCCTAGCCTACTATCTTCTGTTCAGCCCAGCGTACGAGACCGAACAACCTGCACAAAACGACGACTGTACGCAACAGCTCTGTCTCTTCATGGACTGCGGAGGACACATCCCACTCAGCAACAACAGCTGGAGTACGAGCAGGATTCCTCACGGGCATCTATTGACATCCATTCAGTTCTCGATGTTCGAATACTCTCATATGCTTGGCGAGATTCCCGGTTTGGAGGTCGACCTACACCTATATTGGCTATCGGCCAATGGTGCCATTGACAGCCACCTTTACTCGTCGCCACAAAGAGCTACAAGATGCCGATGGGTGGAACGATGAAGATTTCTTCGAATTCCAGGATTTGACTGATGGAAGGATTCGCTACCTTGGCGCACAGAACCGGGCGTGTCTCAAGAAGATTCGCTCCATGTCGGGAATCTCCTTTTCTGAGGACCAAGAACTTCTTGGCCCCGTCGATCACGAGTGGAACGGTGCCCTTACCCCAGGAAAGGTCCCCTGAGGCCCACTGACAACAATGTCGCCAAGGCAAACGTCGTAGTCAGGTAGATTGGGAATACCACCCCCAATACCGACTATGAGGGCGAATCTGATCCCCGTGAATGTTCTTAGCATATGCGTAACAACGTTAGTTGCTGCAGTTGTTCCGATGATGTCTTCAGGAAGGCAAGCGATAACGACATTGTGTTGTCCGATTGTACCTCGAGTGTATACGTTGCTGTCGGTATCTGGGATAGGGATATTGTCTTCATGTTCGATATCTAGCATAGCCGTTGCTGCTGTCTGTTCTTTGGTCAGAGGCTAGGGTGAGGAATTTACTTCAGCTTCCCATAGTGCTGCTCTCAAGATCATGGATGAACGTCGTGCATTCCAAGGTTTGCCTTTTCGACGCCTGCAGGAGTTGGAACTCCTCACCTTTGAAGCCGATGAATTGGGTGACTTCATTGGCAAGGTGCGTAGCTTTTCCCGGAACTCTTTGGGCTTGCGTCTGGCTTCGGCCTTGAGTTTGTCGATCAAGGGGTACTCTCCAGTCAGGGTTTTCGAGGCGCCGGCCAGGATGTAGAAGGCGTATTTAAGTGCTACCAACTTCATGGTCAAGTTTGCCGAGGTACCTCTAGATCTGATCTGGGTTGACGTTGCTAAATATGTAGAGGTACGCGTCCATTCGCTGAGAAGGTGTAACCATCACCACCATTCGCTAATTTATGGTATCGGCGTCCCAACCCAAGGAATCCGCGAGAATCGAACGGTATTGCTTCTCGAACTTCAAGTCCCACTTTGATGGAATGGTAACGCGCAGTTTTCCGACCTTCCAGGGCTTCTGTCTGGTCCATATAGCCGGTTGTCCGGTTGATATGGCCAGATGTCCTCGTAGTTGGGACGATGAGCTCTGGTTTCCCTTGCATTGGTAGCCCTCGCGCGCCTCGCTTCTTTTTTCGCTTCTTCAATTTCATCCTCTGATAGGCCTTAAATCAACCATTGTTGACGACGTATGCTCTCTCCGTCCAGGCGTCATGTGTGCATAGTCCCCATAGGGCATTGATGTGCCCCATTGATTGTTTATTAGCGTTGGGTTGACGGAACTTCGGTCTTGATAGGCACAAAACCCATATGTTAGGTTATATTCGTTCCCGGCTGTACCACGGTAGGGAAACCCAATTTTGGTAGCTATAAGGTACAATCTTACAACTACACTTTTTGTGTTCGGCTGGATTTCAGTAAAAATATGCAAGTCGCTGCATTACCCCAAATCCATACAAGGCATGCATCTGACCAATCAGAAGCCCAGATTCCTTACTGAAATAGCCGGATTTTTAACATTTTTAACAGTCCTAGACCCCATATATAAGACTGCAAGAACCGAGCTCTTTAGCGCACCACACCCCCCAAACCCCCTATAATTATAGCGCTCCTATTCTTACAACCCAATACTAACGAACACAAAATAGTAAGGAGCCTTAATAAAAAAAACTTTAGCTTACGTTACCGTGCAGGGAGTGCAGCTGCGGGTTATGTACGGTAATGCAAGGCCTCCCTACCGTGGTACAGCCGGGAACGAACACAACCTTAGGGCTGTCTCTAGAAGTAAGCGCCGGACAGCAACATCACCCTCCGCCTTCGACTCGGAAAGGACAGCTCGCACGGATGAGGAACAGTGAGAACCTCCTCGTCAAGGACGCCAACGACGCACGAGGAAGTGCCGTCGCCATCCTGCTCCTACCAGGAGTGGCTGACGGCGCGAGAGGCAAGGGTAGCGTCGGGGGTGCCGATGAGCATGGCGGGAGTGTGGTAATCCTGGCCGTTGTAGCGAGCGGCGAGAGTGACGTCGATTGCAAGTGCCGTGCCGGATACGACAGAGTATAGGAGGGCCTGAATGGCGTCGCGTTTCTCGTCGTAGACGAGGCCGAATCTGACCTCCAAGGGCGGCACCTGGTAGCGCGAGGAACTTGGTCGACATCTTCAGCCATGAGCCACCTTCGGCCATTTGCTCATTGTCGCCGTCAAGTGCCGGCAGGTTAGTCGTTGTCATCATGTAAGGAGTTTGTGTGACTGGAGAGCACATAAGGATTAAATACGGTGATGACAAAGAGCAAAGCAGAGAATGCAATAGAGAGAGGTGACGTGGTTTATTCATTAACGATAATGTACTCTTGAATGGTGCTTATTCTGCGAGCGTCTCAATGTGGTGAATCGGAACAGCCACTAGCCTTCTTAACCCGGCTCGACTTCCAGACCGTGTCAACGTCAGAGTGGTCTCGTTCCTACATGAATCCACGACATCTGGTCGTGGAGGACGGATGTATTCTGCGATTCTCTGCGCAAAACTTGCTTGCCTCTTCAGAGTGAGAGCCTTTGGCTGCGGTGTATGGTTGTCGTTTGAAACGCCATGTGCAGTACCTGACCTGTGGATTGATCCTTTGACGCCCTTCGCCATCACTGTATGACTCTTTGAGTCTTTGTGTGATTGATGCTTTGCACTGACATGGTGAGCCTCTGATGCAATGATATCTGCCACTGTACCACCATTTGCATAACTGGGTGCCCAGCTGGTGCGGCTCGCGCGACTCTTGTTGCCGGTTGTTGTCCTACTTGTCCCAGCTACGGCGGTCGAGCCTGCGCCTAGACTCGTAGGAGACAGCGACGCAAACTGTTGATGAGGGTCTGGCCTGACAAGATCGTGGAAACTGTCATGTAGCTGCGCTTCCATAGTCTGCATTAACTCTTGGTGTGCCCTCTCCTCGAGCTCTGCTTGTGCAACGAAAAGCTCGTAGTCGGTGAGTGGAACTGGCCTCGTGGCAGTCTGTGTTGGTTGTCTTGGTAGGTGGGATAGCCTTGAGTGCTCTTGCTGCGAAGATGGGGATGCCATGTCCCGCCGTTGACCGCGGAATCGTATCTCTGCCAGAGGATTTGCCGACTCGGGGCGACGATATGCTCGCCGTGTGGCCCGTGTCTGTGAACGGGATATCCGACTTGTCTCGGACCCTGTGATACATGGTCGACACTCGTGGAGAACCGAGGAAGGTGGTTTGATTGTCAGCCGAGAGAAGTCGGCGGCCGCATGTTGAGGTTGGTAGACGTAACGCGGCCTTTCTTCCTCATTGTCGGGCACGGTGTCCAGGACTGATGTGGGGTTTTGCCATACAATCAGTTTGTCTCGAAGACTTGTTCTGCGTCTGAGTTGCGGCTGCGCCATTGTAGGTGTTTGTCACTTATGTGTGACGTACTCTGGTGAAGAAGACTGCGGAAACTGTAGAAAAAGTGTCTTTGTCGATCCTGATATTGTAAAGGAGTGGTTGGCTATGCTTGAATGGTAAACTCTCCTGATCACCTGGGATGGGGATGGCTAGCCGTGTTATACATCCGGATCAGAAGTAGTGAGGTGACGATGGGAACCACTTTGAAAGAGCAAGACCGGTGGTACTTGCAAGCAGGTACTGCCGTTGGGTATGATCATGATCCAGATGGAACTCGCATCCCGTGGGTGGTGTGACGTGACGTCGGCAGGTGGTTTTGTGACGGGGGGCCGTAGAGACACGGCCGGCTAAACCAAGAACATGATGACTCGGGTAGCCAGCGTAGCATCAAACATTGAGGTGTACCAAGGAATGATGGATTCTCCTCCGAATTGCAGACGACTTCGTGTGTTGGGTTTGATGAAAACAGTTTGGCTCCCCTGCATGACGCATCAGGACTGGAAGCGAGAAGGTGCATCTGACTTGAAGGTTGGCATCTTGAACATGGCTTTGACCAATACGGGCCGCTGTCAAGCATACGAGAGGGTGTGGAGGGCAGGATGCAATGGTGCCCGTGATGGGGACTTTTGGCTCGCGTAAGTGCAAATGCCGCGGAGCCAAGACAGGCGAGGTGTGATTCGTGGGTAGGAGAATTAATCTGCAATTTGGAAGTGATAACGAAAACATGTAGTGGAAAAGAAACGACAGAATCTGGAGACAAAAGCTGGGGAATGCGGGGGCGGACTCTGTTTGGCCTGATTGGTGATCACTGTTGCGTCTCGTGACATTTCTCCAACCGGCGTCAACTTGTCGTGGCTTGGTGGTGGCTTGTCACCAACCGGCCTCATTGGCATGAAAAAGAAATACAATCTTCTTTGCAGTCAATATAGGGACATATGCACGATAGTTCGGAATGGAAGAGAAAAAAACGGTGAGCAACTTGAGTGTTGATGTTGTCCACGATGATGGAGATTAACAAGGTGAGGTTGAATTAAGGTAAGCTTGGGGTTCCCCGCTGCCGAGAGCAAACAGTGGACACTCGTCATGCTGTCTTCTAGGTTGTCCTTGTCTTGATGTCGATCGGATACCATCTGATCTGGGCATCGGCATCGGGAGGAAGAGGGACAGGAACAGGTAGAGGAACGTGAAGAGGAGTCGATTTTTCGGCCGTACGGGAAGAGACAGACGGGAAAGGGCATCGATGTTGACTATTGAAGCCATGGCCGGAAGTTTGGACGGAATGCCCTGTATTTATCAGCAATGGCCCTCCGACTTCAGCGGCTGCGGTTTTCTGTGGCTTCAGCCTCAACCATGGTCAACGGCCATATCGGGGTGTGGTTGCAATGGATGTCTTGGATACGAGAAAAGGGGAGGAGACACAAGGCGGACATAGGCGCGCTGGTTGTGACGGGTTGTGTTTGAGTGGGAAGAGAGACATCCACGAGACAGAAAGTTTGTTTGCTGAGTTGCAAGTTTCCCAAAAAACGAGGGAAACTTTTTCCGGCCGAACCAGTGCCTGACGGCCCGTGCCGATTGTCAAAGCGGCGGATCCCCGCATGACAGCTGCCAATGACCCCACTTGAGCACGAACGGCGGGGTCTGGGCGTTCAGTGAATTCGACGTTTGACACCAAGACCATAACACCCCGTTAAAGATGGGCGCCTTCGTCTCTCGTGCTTCTCGTCCCTCCAGATACACTCTCGTTTTCCACGCCGAGCCGCAGTTCGTGGACACGGTCAAGCAGGCCGTCTTCGCTGCCGGCGCTGGTCGCTATCCCAACTACAGCGAATGTTGCTGGACTGCCACTGGCACCGGCCAATTTCGGCCAGTCGGCGCCGCCAACCCACACACCGGAGAGGTCGGTGTTCTAGAGAAGATCCAAGAGCTGAGAGTCGAGATGTTGTGTGATAGCGAGCAGACGGCGAGGAAAGCTGTCGAGGCTCTCAAGAAGTGAGTGGGTTTACGTCGACTCACTAACAATAACCACTATCGTCATGCGACAGTGGATATCAGCTAACCGCAACAATGACAGAGCACACCCCTACGAGGAGCCATCGTATACCGTCTACAAGCTGGAGGATTTCTGATCCCCTCATCGTCCACAAGTACGCCCGTGTACAATCGCTCCGATAATAGACTTTCATGTTCCCGTTTGCAAGAGACGTCGATATCGAACCAGGGCGAACTCACTGTCAACCCGATCGAACCCCGGCTGTCTTACCCGATCTCCCCTGTGCAGAGCACTGCCACGATGCCAATTCAAGATTAGCGCACCACTAAGCTGACACTCCCTCGACTCCGTCGCTGCCATCATCCCCGGACCGTTCCAATGGATCGAATTGCAGCTCAATCGACCTTCGACTGAATCACATCGCGACTCCGCCTTCGACAGTTCGACTCCGTCGCCGGAAACGCCAAACTAGTCACCTCGAAAACCAGGCCATGAGACACCCGCGGTAGCCGTCCAACCCAGTCAGGGCTCTCTCCCAACAATGCGCCTCATCAACGTCCACACCCTCGAGATCCAGTACTTCTCGGGCACAAGCATCCCCCAATATGCCATTCTGTCGCACACATGGGGCGCAAATGAAGCAACCTTCCAGAAATGGACCAACAAATGGACTCGACTGACACACAAGCATCGCTCTGGCTTCCACAAAGTCCTGGCAACTTGCAGGCAGGCCCGCCGGGACGGTCTCGACTATGCATGGGTGGACACGGTGTGTATCGATAAGTCCAGTTCAGCCGAGCTATCAGAAGCCATCAATTCCATGTATACCTGGTACGAGAAGGCCACGACATGCTACGTCTATCTCTCCGATGTTCCTGTGTCCAGTTCAAAGGCCAATACCGATACTCTCGACTCCCTTCGAAAAAGCAGGTGGTTTACCCGTGGCTGGACCCTCCAGGAGCTCATCGCCCCCGAAAATGTCCAATTCTGCACAAAGGACTGGGAGGTTCTGGGCACCAAGAAGGCCCTCGCTGTTCTCATATCTACCATTACCGGAATTGATGCGGCATGTTTGAAAAAGGAGAAGCGACTGCGAGACTACAGCATTGCCCACCGGATGACCTGGGCCGCCAAGCGAGAAACAACTCGAGAGGAAGACCTGGCTTATTGTCTGCTCGGCATCTTTGGCATCAACATGCCTCTGCTGTATGGGGAGGGATCCAAGGCCTTTAAGCGACTCGAGGAAGAGATCATCAAAGTGTCTGACGACCACAGCATTCTCGCCTTCGAAACGAATCTCTCCGATGGGACCCTCTTTGCCCACCATCCCTCTGCCTTCGTCAAAGGAGCCTGCATCTACCCACACTACGGCCGCCGTCTCACTCAGCCTTTCTCCATGACCAATGCCGGCCTAGCTATGACCACCCCGCTCATAAAAACCCTCTCGCCCTACTGGGTCCTCGCCGTCTTCAATTGCGTTGAAGTCGACACCGAGAACAACATGCAGCGCTCTCAAATCTGCTTGCCCCTCTTCGGAAAAGACAACCAATTCATGCGCGCCCGTATACCCATCAGCCTGATTAGCCGCAACATCGATGACCCATACGCAGTGAACTCCACCGAGAAGCTGGGAGCGGCAGCAGGTGCCCTCGATCTAACCACTCGCTCCGAAACGAGCTACTGCATCTCCTACTTTGGGCGTGTCTACTCTGCCTACGGCCGCGAGATCGACGTAGCCATGAAGGGGTTCGAAGTCTATCCCCAGCCTGATCACGGTTTCATGATCACCTTCCCCCGGGGCATGGCCGGGTACCGACTGCATACCGCACTGCCGAGATGTGACCTCCGCGACGACATAAGCTACTTCATCCCCACTTCTCGATACGTCCGTTCCTTCGACTCTTCGCAAGAAGAAGAACTACAGATATCGAGCGGGATCATTGTGTTCAAAAGCGACAGCCTCCACGACCATGACCCATCCAAATGCGTCGGTGTATACCTCGCTTTTGCAACCACAACGGGAAGCATAGCCAGCAGCACAACGGCAAGCACCACGACCACAATTACGACAACAAGGACGACATCAAGCACTGGGAGAACACAGCACCTAAGATGGGCATGCAAAGTTGCCCCGATACGGGAGTTCTACGATCAAACAAATGCCAAGCAGGTCCTGGCAAGAGCAAACCAGGAGGCCCTCCTAGGAAACTGGCCGCATTATTACCACCATGAGAACACCATCGTGTCGGCACGGACGAGGTTCCAGACACCGAGGGGGGAACCATGTAGGGACACGGTCATGGTGGAGATTGTGTTTGATGCGGACGAGTTGGTGAGGGAGAGGGATGCTGAGGAGAGGGATTTTGAGTAGTTGCTAAGGAACCTGGGACTAATCATACCCTCCAAACTGCGATGAATTGAACCAGGACCAAACATGTGGCAGTGCTGCCACCAGGATGCCTTTGTTGTGACTTGTCGGGCATTGGCTGGTGAGACTGGCGGTATAATTCGGACCACCTGAACCAGCAGGGAGGGTGCGCAACCGCTGGTGGGCAACTTGAAGCGCCTGGACAACTGCCAGAGCTTCTGCAACTCGGTTGTCCCTGAGTAATTTTGAACGCCATGCCATCTTAGTTTGCTTGCCATGATCTTCGGTGTTTGGTGACATCTCGGTGAAGATTACCGAGTAGGCCCCGACGGTCTCCCACCCAGGGTCGAAGATACGGGGCGCTGCCGTAAAGAATGACAACGAAATTTCGTCGGGGGTTGCTATCCGCCCTTGGAATCTCTCAGCTATGGTGATAATTTACCGCTTAGAAGCCTCGTCGTTACTGGCCTGACCATCATGTTAGGTTGGAAATTGAACTGGCTTCTGAACTCTTGAGGGATACCGTGCCAGCGTATCCCCCGCCATACGAGAATAGACCTATTATGTGGTCTGATGTGAACGACAGTTTACTCAGGCTCTCCAAGTAGCACAGGAAGGGCTCGAAGTTGGGAGGAAATTGCAGGCAGCACAGCTTGGACCTGAAGAATATCGGTCATTCGTATCACGAGAATAAATTGCCCGATGGTGGTTCCGCTATGCTAGTTTGTCTGAATTCATGCCATATGCTGTTCTTTGATCGAAGGACTGGTCATTTCCCGGGTCTGCATTGATGTTATTATCGGGCGTACCAGAGCCAGCTGCAAGGTTTGAGGACTGAATTCGGCAGGCAAGCGGTCGTAAGATCAAACCGAACACGCCACGGTCTAATACATCACACCTTCGGGATAGTCTTGCACGTATTCATATGTCTTTATTACACATATGGACCGGACTTCAAGTCATCTCCAGGATCAAATGATCCCCGATGGCCATTGGTCGACGTACTTTCAACGAATCGTAAGGCATATCACAGTTTTGCAACGGCCTTTCTTGAATAAAGCGAGTAGTATTAGACGTCCATGTCCGATTTATTCTTACGGCCACTCAATAGGCCTGCTCACAACGTCAAATAACTAGATACGAGAACCATCACCGCGCAGATTTGAACTAATCGTCCCATCTCTGCTGGAAGAAAGAGCGCTGTATTGTGATTCTAAGCTCATGATCGAAACAATGGCATCACTGCAGGCAAAAGTGGTGGCAAGCGCCAAGACAGGAAGCGGTATTGTGTTGGGAATTTGACATCGGATGAAAGTCCTTGAGCGTACCGTTTGTCCAGCTATGGTCAGTTCATCCCATCGCACAATAGCAATGAATTGGAAGTCCGTATTCAGGTTCCATTCATGGTACCGGGCAACAGTTGGTACCCACAGTCCACTCCTTGAGTTCCACTCAGTACAGAGTACAGACGAACTATTCACGACCGCAAAAGGTGGAACAAGAGGACTGACAATAGGATACCTCTATTGTTCACGACTTTGAATGCGAATGGGGATCCACTCGCCAATCGCATAAGATCTTGCACCTTCAACTTTTTTGACTCGCCTCGAAAGCTGAACTTTACAACCACAGTGAACCACTGCAACAACTTGCAAACTTCAGCAAACTTCATCACAACATCACCACTCACATTGACATTCCAGCATTGGCCAAGAGTCACCCTTCTACTCAACAAGTACGTCGCTTCTCTTTCACGCAATCAAGAACTCAATTCTAACCAACTACCAGACCAATCAACAGCCAATCAAAAGATCACCATGAGCGACGACGACCGTGTGAACGGCAATCCCGTTCAAAAGGCGATGGAAGCGGTTGTGGAAGCCTGGGAGTCGGCACTCAACAAGATTCGGGAGTGCAAGCAGGAGTATCAAGCCCAGTTGGAGGAGCTTGCTGGTCTGGGGGGTATGCCCACGAGGGCTCAGGCTTTCGGCATCCTGAGGAGCTTCTACGAGAGGGTTAATGGCCTCAGGAACACGCTAAACCAGCCTGTTCCAGACGAAGCTCTTCTTCAAGTCGAGGCCCCAGCCACTTCTGCCTTGAGAGCTCTGGTCACGCCCGTTCGTAGAAAGAGATTGACGAAGCTTGTCCTCCCTGAAAGCCAAGTCGTCGCCAGTCCCTCTGCCTCTTATGACCTCCAGAGCGAGGATGTCAACAACAGGAAGAATAAGGGCAAAGACAAGGCCATCGACACTTCCACAACTACAACCACAACCCTAACCAAATCCACCGGCAGCAACAAATCCGGTTCAGGATCCATCACCTCCAAAAAAGATATCAAGGGCAAGGGCAAAGCCAGCCCAAAGTCCCTTTCGCCTCTCCCTTTCTCTGCCAAGACACTCAACAAGATCACCAAGACTGTCAACAACAGGAAGACCAGCAGGCTTCCACTTATCAAGCCTGTTTCCACGCTTAAACTCGGCAGTGTCGCGGCTATCAAATCGGTCCCTGGTCCCAGTCGCTCTGACCAGCGCCCTGCCACGCCCGAACCCGAGCTCGAGTCTGACTCCGACTCTGAGTCGGTGTACTTGTCCGTGTTGCAGTTCCATAGCAGCCTCTCTTCCCCTCCCGACGCTTCTTCCACTCCCGGCCCTTCTTCGACTATCGCTGCCGTCGCTACCGCAGGCGCTTCAAACAGCCCCAGCTCAAATGATACCCAGGAGCAGTCCATTGCCATAACCGATAAGGGAGAACAGAAAGCCGAAGTCCTCGCCTGCGATCCTACCACTACCACAACTCAAGCTAGCAACAGCGCCAGCGCCAGCGGATCCGGATCTGGATCCAGCACTACCACCTCCAACAGCATCCAGGAGACACAGGGCATTGACATCCAGGAGGCCCAGGGCGGTGGCACAAAGGAAGGAAAGGGCAAGGAGAATGTCAACAACAGCGACACTCCCACAAAGACAATCATTGCCATCGGATCAGGCTTCATTCCATCCAAGAAAGATTTGAAAGGGAAGGGCAAAGCCGTTTCCAGATCTCCTTCTCCTGGCCTTTCCTCCTTGAAGAGCACCAGCAACAAGGTCACGAAGAGCAGCAAGAACAACAAAGAGAACAAGCCATTCTCCAGACAGAGCCCATCTGCTGGTGATCCGTTCGACCTTGGATCGAACAGCGAATCCAACAACATCCAAGAGGAGATCGTTGTCAAAGACAAAGGCAAAGGAAAGGCGATTGCCTCTCCAACTCCTACTCCAACTACCACAGAGGATGTCAACGACAAAGATGAAGTTATTGTCATCACTACCGCTACCGCTGCTTCTATCACAGCAAAGGCCAGCAACAGCAACAATGTCAACGACAAACCCAGCAACAGCAGCAACAGCACCAGCACATCCAGCTCCACCTCCGGGCCCGGCACCATCCCCAACAAGAAAGACCCTAAAGAAAAGGGCAAAGCAATCACCACTTCGCCCTCCAGATCCGCATTCCCCGGCCCCAGCTCACCCAAAACCAAAACCACCAACAACACCGACAAGGCCAACATCACCAAAGTCACCAAAAGACCCGCAGCCGCCCAAGAGCGCCAAACAATCAAGCGCTCCCTAGCCAAAAAGGGCCAACACTGGGCCTTCAAACTCGAGGCCCACTTCGCCGGCATGACCTCCGAGCAGATTCAGGAAATGGAAATGCAAAACAAGTATTTCATCCTCTGCTGTCCAGCACCTACCTGCCCCTCGCCCAATTTCGGTGGTAAACACCCCTTCAGGGAGGGCAGAGCTGTGCAGCACTTTACTTCTCGCCGCAATGAGGAAGAAGGGGCGGGATCATGCATGATGGAAATCGACGGTGAAGATGTGGATGTGGACGCAGACGACGGAGATGTGGAGATGACCGAAGCAGAAATCTTTGAGCGCTTCGGAGCCGAAATCGTGCCGGAGCAAAAGAGGTGGCCGGTTGACGACAAGTGGGCGAGGAAGAATAATAGGGAGTTGTGTATGAAGGTTGCAGCAGAGGGAGAGGAGAGGGAGTTGGAGTTGTCAGACTGATTTGTGAAGGAAAGGGTGTTATGTCCTGCGTGCAGCGGATGATGTTTGAGTTTCGGCGATTGTTGATGGACTGAAGTCGAGAGAGACGGGAGGTATATAGGGGCTCATGTTCATTCTACCTACCTATGTGCAAGATGGAGGGTACTAAGGGTAGGGTAGGGTGTTTGGTTCGGAGTTCTGAGGAGATCATTGCTGATTTGGTATGATATGATCAGCGAGAACATAAAGGAAATGTACTCGCTCGCATATGATGAGATAAAGTGGACGGTTATATCGCGCTGGGCGGACAGGTATAGGCGCCTTTTGCGCTACCACTGGTAGGACAGGCAATGTTTCGAGATATATCCATACGGCTGATGATGCAAAGAAAAGTGCATGAAGTACCTGCCGTTCAAACGTGTCATATCCGTTCTCTCGCGCCCACATTTCACTCAAAAGTGGAAAGAGACCTAAGGAATGCTCCTGATTCACGAAGAGAAAGCTGTTAGATATCGAGCACACCAGTCTGGGTTTTGCCTTTGCAACCGGCGGTACATACCTCTACCTTACCTTATGCGCTTGCCGCACGACAGTCACGTTGCTTACTTTCTCCTCCTGAGTCCCCTCCATCCAAGCAATCTTTCCGCTTTCATTCTTGGTCCCAACGAAGCATGCAGATTCAACTGGCTGTGAGCCCGGATATGAACCTCATCTTTTGACTCACTCGATACTCGTTCATCATCGTAATGCTCGTCCATAACTTTCATCACGAGAAAACCTCAGCACACTCTAAGCCCAACCTACGCACACTCTAAGACCCATATGACAGCTATCATATAAATACTATCGTTTTGTATAGTAATCTGGGGTCTTTTTAATATTTCAAACATCGCTTCCGGCCAGCCAAATACTCGTAATCCTTTTCATAGTATTATGAACCCCCCAAACTCGATATCGCCATTACAGCAGTCACATACATAGCCGTACAGTTTCGATGCCTAGAATCCCTCTCTTCTCTTATTGATTTACTTAGTAATATTTATTCTAAATCGCTCAATACGATAGGGTTCTTACTATTGCCCGGTAAATATTACTATACAATCCAAAGATTCCTATTATTCTAGTAATTCTTATATCCCCTCCCGAAGTAACTATCTTCGTCCTATAAACTTTCTTTTATCCTCCTCCTTTTACGTCTCTCTTATGTATTTAATTACTCAAGATTAATATTAGTAATTTAAATAGTATTACTAACCTATAATTAGAATTTCTTCCCTCAATATAAATACGGTAGAGGTAGGCTAAATTCCTTTTTAATAATTAGGTATTTATAAGGGCTATAGCAGGTACGCTACTATTCAATAAAGCGCCCCTCCTCTTCGAAATTTACATTATATAGGGGGTATTCATTATTAAAAACGTTATATTCCTCCTTTTCTACCTATTTGGCCGCTTATTCCTTAAATTCTTCTTCTAATTATAATTGGGCGAACTACTTTTCCTCCATAGTAAATTTCCTGGGGTAATTTTCTTATATATTATTAAGGAATAAATTATCGTTTCCTAATTCGTCGTTTATTATATAGTATAATACGATATTAGAGAGGTTATTACACTAGAATTACTATATATTATTAACGGGTAGCGCCTTTAATTCAATAGTTTAAATAATAAAAAGTTAGGAGGAGGAAGCTAAAGAAGATAAAGGGGAGGGAGGGGTAGGAAACGAGGGTAGGTTAGAAAATTCTAAATTTGAATCTTCTAATTTAATTACTTCCTTTAACTAAGTTAAAGTAGGCGGGCTTTAAAGAATTAGGCCAATATTAACAAAAATAATACTCTATACATTATTATTTTAAATTAATAAATACCTCCTCTTCTCTATCCTCCTCCTCCCCCCCCCATTTCGCCCGCTTCCTACTTACAAGTATTATAATAATATTTATAATAATATCTTTAATATTGAAAACTTCGAGCTTGGGCCTAGCGAACTCCTATTAAGAATAATTACAACGTAATAATATTAAAATAGGGGTACTATTCGTAAATTTATTACAGAGGCTAAGAAGGTTAATACGTACATTAGGCTAAGCTTAATTAGGTTAGGCTGAATTAAGCTAGGCTTAACCAAATTAAATTATATATATACTAGCTTTAATAACCCGCCTATATTAGGGAGGTTGGCCTACTTATAACCTACTTTAAGAAGTACTTTAAAAAGGCTAGCCTTCTTAAGGGATACTTTATAGAAATTTAATAATAAAGCTTTATAATTAAAAGGGCCGCCTATATTATAAGGGCGGCTATTAAAAATCTTTATAACCATAAATATAAATATAAAATATTTATTAATTATATTCTACGTAAGAAGTTAATATAGGAGAATAACGGGGGTAAATATAAGGAAGCGCTTATTCGAAGCTAGCGTAAATATTAAAAGGAGTAATATATATCTTTTTTAATTAAAACAACTTTGTCGTTTTATAGCCGTACTTCTATTTTATATATATAAGGTAGGCCAAATTACTATTTGAACCGCTAGGAGTAGGGAAGTAGAAGCTTACCCTAATATTAATCCTCTAGCCTCCCCAGTAGTATTAAAAGAATTTTATAGTATTAACGTTCTAATAAACCGAATGCCTACGTAATGAATTTTAAAAGGTACATACTAAATTAATCGCAACTAATCTACATTATACGTATACGTAATAAAAAAGTAGTACTCTGCTCCTTAAAGTAAATATATTAGTTAGCAACGTATTAAAAGTAAACTTTAAAAACGTTAGCAAAACTATTACAATTAAAAATTCAATAAGATTTGAAGGAACCATTATTAAATTCATTTAACGATATAATTATTTAATTATAATTAAAGTTTTCGTTAATATAATAGCTAACCTACTCTTCCTTACAGGGATATACTCCTTCTTAAAGTAATTGATAATATTTTTCTAGGATTCGCTAAATTCGCATTGAAGGAGGACCTAAGCTTTATCAAAGTCCGATATCATAAGGGAATAAACTATATATTACTATATAAAGAATAATATAGTATATATATTAATAACTTTAAAAAATATAAGGGGGAAGCTAGCCCTAGTCTTAATAGTAGATCGAACCTTCTTATATAAGCGGATTAAATATTAGCGGTTAGCCTTGTCGTTAATATTAAAGACTAGATCGCTCTCGTTGAATTCGCTTTCTTTATCATTTAGTTAATTAATATCCTCGTTGCCGTTACTATCTTAATCGCTATTATTTAAATTCTCATCTCTAGACTCCGCGGACTAACTGCCGTCTCCTTCTTCATCGTTTCTAACTTCCTTATTAGCGGGGCGCTTCTAAAATTTCTTAATATTCTTAACCACATTATAATTAATATATTAAATATAGCGCTAGAATATAACGTTTAAGAATCCAACCCGTAGTATACTAATAAGGGTATTATTTCTATTATTAATAATAACCCCAAAGTAACGAATATCGAAGATTTCTATAGTATAATAAATTTAATTAATAAAGTATATATACCTCTGGTTTCTTTTATTATTAAATATTACTTGGAATATAGGTATAGAAGTCTTTTCGGCCGTATCAATAATACTTTATACTAAAGCGAAATAAGAGCGGTTAATTTTATATATAGTATCAAAGGATATAATAAAGGGGTTACGTAGTTATATTTTACGTTAGGAATCGAATACCTAAAAGGTATTAGAAAGTATAATCTTTTCTTCGTTATCCGCCTAATCAATATAATAGTAAACTACCGCAATATCATTCTCTAACAACCGTATAAAATTCTAAATATTAGCGTATCCCTCCTTCAATACCTTTTTTAATCGTATACGTATATTATTAAAATCTTTATATTAAAGAAATATATTAAGGAACCGATCTTTAACGGTAATATATATCGAACGAAGAATTAATTCCCTCTTTTTTAATAGATTGGCTACGAATCCATATAATTTAAGGTACAATATTAATATTTTCTCTCAAAGAAAGAGGTAGCTATCGAAATATTAGGAAAGTAAATATCTCTTATAATTATAATTCTTAACCTTAATTACTTACTTCTAATTAGCAACCGCCTATTAAATAACTACAATACAAAAGGAATATTTGCAAGCGTACTTTCGTAATATAGAATACTTCTTAGAATTAGGGTTACGAGTAAAGTAAAGTTTATAAGTAGTATAATCGTACTAGTAAATATACTGGTAGGGTTAGCTATATATAGTGTGACGACATGGGTCCCGACACCTATATATAGGTACTGAGGCCCCACTCGTCTTATTACAAGACCTACATCCTTAAGGATACAAGCCCTCTAATTGGCTAAACCAGAACCAAAATATACAGGCCTATTCAATTAATTCGTCGCGACCATTTAATTAGCACCGCGACCTACATATCACATTCATATATAATATTAAATTAGGAAAGCAATAAAAGTTGGCAAAATTTAGGCACACCCTATATAAAGGTACACAACCGAACCTAGCTCTCAACCTCTCCTTCTTTCTTTCTTTAATTTTAATTATTTTATTATATTATATATACTTACTATACTACGGTTATACGCGCCCGTATTATATTTTAATACTTAATTAAAGCTAATTATATTTATTTAGGAAAGTATTAAAATATCCTACCTTAAATCCGGAATTCGATAAATCGCTTCGTCGACTTCCTAAACCCGAACTTTATCGCTTCAACAATATTACAAATTTAAACCCGATTACTCTACCGATTTTAATAAAAATTAACATTATAGCTAATTACGCTTAGGGCGCGCCATTAAGCCGTCCTTTTATCCTCGATAATATTAACTAACCCTATAAACCCGATTACAACCCTTATACCGCTAATTATAATAAATACAACTAAAATACTAATAATACTATTAAAGATAGTACGTAAGAAGATAAGGATTTGGAAGAGGACGACTCCTCCTTCTATAGTATTAGTAACGACAAATTATTTAAAGAATCCGAAATGGTAATTACTTCTATTCCTTCGAAGAAGTGTTACATTCTTTATAAATAACCTCTTCAAAATACATCGCTTTTTTACAATACTTTAAAGGAAATTCCTACTAAATTTAGTAAATATTTTAAGCGTAGTCTAAAATTTATTTTTAAAATAAATTCGCTTTTAAACCCTCAGCGTTCTAACGCTAACGATCCTAATCCTAATACAATCTGTAAATACGTACCTCCCTACAAATAGTATACCTTTAAAAAAATCGCTCATCGTCATATCTGCCTAAATTATAGTAGATTCGACCATATCTCTAATCTTCATCGCGATAG